TGTCCTAGTCCTCTGACTAGAGAGGACAGGCTTTTCTTGGGGATGTTTTGTCCACAGTCACAGGTATTTCTGGGTTGTTGACTTCTCCAGCTCCAAAGGGAATGTTTGGGTTCAAAAGAAAACCCAGAGAACTCACTGCCACATTGTCCCTTGGGTCCTGAGGTCCCTACTCAGTCTGCCTCCTCTCCCCTTTTAGAATCTCCATAGGTTTGGTTTATAAATAATGTCCAGGGCTTTTAGCTGTACTTCACAGGAGCGACAGGGAGAACTACGTCTACTCCAGGATCCAGAAGTCCAGATTTGCCTGTTCTTGAACTTCATATAAATAGAATCCACTGTGTGTGTTCCTTTAAGTTTGGCTTCTCTTGTTCAACATGATGTCTTGATATTTATCCATGTGGTCGTGTGTGGTCAGATGTTTTCATTGCTGTATAAGATGTAACCGTGTGAACAAACCACACAGTGGGATTTGCACAGTGGAATCCTATACAGCAGTGGAAATGCAAGCTGCCTCTACCACATGCAATAAACCACACAATTTCCTTATCAGTCCTGTGGATGGTCACTTGGATTGCTAATAGTTTTCAGCTATTATGAACAAAGTGCTTTGAACAGAATTTGCTATGATGAGCAAATGTTCTTGGACATGTATTTTTTTGGCCAGAGCACTCATTTCTGTTGGGAATAAATATTGGAAAGACCTCTCAGCTGGTCTGCTTGCTTCAGCCCTTGCCTCCTAGTCACTTTTCCATGTAAAAGCCCCAGTGACCTTTTCAAAGCATAAATTGGATCCCTTCTCCCCTTGCTCAAAAATACCGAAGTCTACCTGTAGAATAAGACAGTAGTGTTCTCACCATGGTGTACAAGTCCCTATAGGATCTAGCCCCTGCCCCCCTCTTCTTTATTCCTACCTTATTTACTGCCTCTCACTGTCTGGCTTACTATACCTGCCATACCGTCATCTACTCAACCATCCAACCATCCAACCATCCATTAGTTTTGGGGTGCCTTCAACATGCCTACCTCACTCCTGCCTCAGGACATTTGCCCTTGCTGTTCCAAAAGTGCCAGAAGACACTCTTTGCTGAAATCATCACATACTTCCCTTTCCCCCTTTATTTAGGTCTCTGTTCCAATGTCATCTCTTCAAAGAGGGATTCTAAAATGGTCCCGATAGACTCATCCTGTCTCTTTACCCCACGTTATTTTTCTTGATAGCACTTATCACCACCTGAACTTCTATTGTTTATTTGTTGTGTGTCCCCCCCACTTTGGCATGAAGTGCCCATGAGGTTTGGGTGTTGTCTGTCTGGTTATCTGCTGTATCCCACTCCCTAGAGTAGTGTTGCACATAGTAGGTGTTCAGGAAATATGCATTAAATGTATTAAAGACACTAGCATGGGATTTGGTCAGATGCCTCAGCTCTGATACCAGCTTCATCTTCCAGCTGAGTATCATAGGGCAAGTCCTTTAACCTAGCACTTCTCACCATCTAGTCTCCTGGGGTCTTTTGGCAATGCAGCTTTTTAGTTAGGAGGTCTGGGGTAGGACCTGAGATTCTGCATTTCCTACCAGCTCCCAGCTGGTGCCCAAGCTGCTGGACCTGGAACTCAGGCTTTCACTAGTGAGGCCTTAACTACTGTGAGCCTCAGTTTCCACATCTATAAAATGGTTCATTATGATAAACAAATGAGCAAAGTGCATAAAGCACTGTGCATAGTGCCCGGACTTGGCAGGTGCTCAGTAAGTATCCACTCCTTCTCTTCTGCATGCCTTTCTGGGTCTGAAACTCGAAGTCACTGCTGATTTTCTCCCTTTGATTTTCTCTATGCCCACGTGTTTAGCCCCCTACACAGACCCTCAGGGGAGCTTTGTCCATTTTATCTCTCAGAGCTGGCCAGCCCCACCTGTCATGGGTAGGGGTTTGGAGGATTCTGGCGTTTTGACAGTCATGGGAAATTATGCAAATGATATGCAAAGCAGCAGCTAATCAGCCCTGATTACCTTTGCCTGGTGCTGGGGAACATGTGGGATAAGTGTGCTGGGCAGGGAAGGGGGTGCAATGAATGCTTTTAGGGATGGATGAGGAGGTGGTGACAGGACGAGTTAGCTTCTTCTGGGGGGCATGAGGGGGCTGTTCTGTGGTCTGGGTGAGGCCTCCTTGTTTGTAGACTGATTCTGTCTGTAGGACTGGAATGTGGTTAAGATCCAGGAATAGGGGCTGAGCTTGGGCTTGGGGTATGTGTGTGTGTAGTGTAAGGGGTATACCTGACCTGTCTGGACCTGCAATTTGGGGAGTAGAAGGCTGCAGACGGGTGACTTGGGGGCCCTCCCAACAGCAGATGTGGCTGGATCAGACTAACAGTGGGAGTGGGGTGGGGGTGGATGCCCTCTGGGCTGGTCAGTAAGGGGTGACAGAAGGGGTCAGCTCCTTCCATGGAGCCTGAGTGTGGAGGGCAGAACTGGGGGCTCTGACAGGCAGCAGATGGGGCCAGATCAGGCTGACAGAAGGGTCGGGGAGGGGAGCTGTCTTCGGTATCCTTGGATGAAGCTGGCTTTTTAGGAGAAACATGATCACAGCTGGGGGCCAGCAGGTGGGCAGGGGGCTCTGCTTACAGTGCCTGGGAACTCAATCCCTCCCTGCCTTCTAGCTGAGGTTTCCCCGCTCTCCAGGGAGCTTCTGCCCTCAGATACCAGGCGTCCCTACCCTCCTGGCCTGAGCCTCCACCTGATCCTCTGCTGAGGACCTCCAGGCCTGAGGACAAGCCACATCAGGTGGCTGGACCAAGGAAGGTCAGTTGGAAGTCACCTCTGAGGTCATTCTGGGGGGTTCCTTACTCATACCCATTACTTGACTAACACTTCATATGACCTTGCCCTACCTTTGATCTAAGGATGAGAAGCACACTTGGCTGTGAAACTTCTAGGAAATGGGTAGCTGTTGCTGTGCCTCCTAATCAGATCTTTCTTAATGGAACCAGTGTGGAGTATTGAAAAAAGCTTGGCAGACAGAGGTTTCAAATCGCAGTCGAGGCATTTACTAGCTTTGCTCAATCTCTAGAGCTTCTGTTTCCTAATCAGCTCTGGTAGGTACCTCACCTGCAGCTGCTGTGACGGCCAGAGGTGCTGCAGGAGAATAGGAGTTCAGTGGATGCACCAGCTTGTCACCCTTGAAGGAGGGACTTGGTTTTGCCCATGGCTCATGGCTGTGTCCCAGCACCTAGGACAGTCCCTGGCACCTAGTGGGTGCCTAATAAATACCTGTTGAATGAATGAAATGCTGTGTCATCTATCCCAAGATGATTATCCTCCCTCACATTTGACATCTCTGATATTGGGATGCTTCATACAATTTATGGCATATCAGTGTAGTTGGCATCAGTCTTATGATTGAGAGGGGTCTTAGATGGGATGAAAAATGGAAAAGGCTATCATTATTATGAAAAGGCAGTTTTACTTTTGCTTTATGCTTAAATTTCAGTGGGCTTCCGGCTCTTTCCAATTTTATCTGCCCTCTCTGGGCTGTGTGCGGTATCTGAGAATTGCCCTGGGGCACAGGGGCTGCTGTGATCCTTGCCTGAGGTCCGAGGTGGTACTGGGCTGGGGACATCACATCCTGTGGGGCATGCTAAGTGCCCTGGGCTCCAGTCTCCACTTGATCTGCTCCCCACCACGCCCTCCCCCGTCACTTGATGTTGTCCCTCCTGGGAGGTGGCAGGGCTGTCTGAAGCCTTTCATAATTCCAAGTCCCAGGACTGGGCGGCAACTGCAGCTGGGGGTGGGTATAGACATCTGTGATCCCTAGGCTGAGGGAGATCTAGGTAGATCTAGTCTGGATGGGCAGAGAAGCCTTTCAGAACGAGGAAGGTGGAGCAGGTACCTGGTCTCCACCCAACTCCAGTCCCTCCAGCAGCGGAGCTGAGACCCAGGGCGCAGATTAGTGTCTGATCCCTAGAGGGCGAGTGTGGAGTGGACAGAGCCCCTCTTTCAGTGCTCACCTTCAGTCCCCTGGTTGGGACACTTTAACTTTGCCACTGATCACCTCCCATGAGGCTAGGGCTGGGGGCTTTTGTGTATAGCCGTGATTCTGTGTGGGAAGCATTTGTGTGTGTTCAGATCTGTGTAGATGTGTGTACACATGCCTTAAAGCTGGGTCTGTGCTGATAGTAGTGTTATGGTTATGTGTATGTGTATGTGAGTATTACCTGTGTCTGAATCTGCAGGTACTCAGACCTGTGAAAATGCATGTGCACGAATACATGCGCTGCTGTTTGTATATATACGTGTGTTGATGGGGTGCATGTGTGCATGGACACATAGAGTGTATGGACCATGTGTGCAGTGCTGACCATGATAGTGTTTGCTGTGTGTGTGGGAGTTTCTGACGGCTGTGGCCTGTGGGGGAAGCACCAGAGGTGGAATCACGAGGCCTCACTGCCAGTAACTAGCCCAGGAATCTTGGATGCTCAGACAAGTTGTTTGACTACTGTGGGCCTCAGTTTCCACTCTGTGAAATCGGTATGGAATCTCATATAATGAAATTGTAGTTGAGCATCTCACACTCAGCCTGACCCTGAAAAGACTTGAAATAAAAATTTGAGGAATGAGAATAAATGATCAAGCAAATGGAAGTCTTTTATGGAACTTCAGGCTGTAAGTTTTAAGGGCTTGAGAGAAATGAGTGGAAAGGGGCAGCTTACAATGTCTTGAACAGATGTTGGGAAGCAAGGTCTCAGGGAGAGTGAGAGGAAAGGGGCTGGAGCAGGGTGCTCCCCACAGTCAGGGGTGGCCGTGTGAACCTGTGCGTTCACCAGCATCACGGTGAAGGTGAAGGCGCCATGCAGAAGGAGGGTGTCCCCTGGTGTACATGGGCGGGAGGCTGTCTGTACAAGCATTGCCCAGTTGCCATAGAAACGAGCAGGAGGTGGGTGGCTGGAGAAGGAGGCGGGTCGGGAGGAGGTAGGGGGAGGAGGCGGCGCTGCGGGGCGGGGAGCTGGCTTCCGCAGTTCTGGAGCTGCTGCCTTCCTGAGAAGCCGGTGGAGGGAACCCAAGAGGACAGAGCCCCCAGCCCGGGCGCCAGGCCCCCTCCCCACCTGCCACCACGGAGGAGGAGGAGGACAGCCAGCCCCTCCGGCCCTGGCCTGGCCCAGCAGGGGCAGTGTGCTCCTACCTGCCCCTGGCTTGGTGCCCAGCCAGGCCCAGGTAGGCATCCCAACGGGGACAGCTGGAGGAGGCTGCATGGAGGGTCGGGGCCCACTGCCCCTGCCTGCCTACCAGCAGTCCCTGGGAGGAAGCATGCAGGCTGGAGGGGCCAGGGCCAGTGGACGTGGGGGAGAGCAGCCAGCACCCTGGGAGGCCCCCTTAAGATGGAGCCTGCTCATCAGGAGGACTGCCCCTCTCTGTTGCCTTCCCTCCTCTGCACTTCCATCCCTCTCTCCACCACTGCACAGGTTCTGACTGTAGAAATGCTCACTCCATGAGGGAAGTGGGCTTAGAGGGGCTGGGGCTGCCATGGACCAACAGTGCACCCCTCCCCAGGCTGAGGCTAGAGGGTGGGCAGGAAGAAGTGGAGATGGCCCCCACCCCCACTTTGGGCAAGGCCAGGCCCTGGTCATTGGAGCACAGGCCCACGTCCCACCTGTCTCACCCACCACCCCAGTGGACCTCCCTGCTGGCCCAGCTGGTCTCAGGCATTGGGCTTAGAGCCCCCTGGTCAGGCAAGAGGAACTTTCTCCTTCTCTCCCAAGCTTGGGTTCTTTCCCCTCATTCTCCCTGCAGACCTTGATTCCCCAGGTCTCTCAAAGGACCACTGCTTCATACCCAGTAAGCCCAGGGTTTCCATACTGGGGTACAGGAGATCAGCCCCATTGGATGGGGGTGCCTGTGGCCCTCGCTCCGCTCCACTTCTCTCTCCCTCTGCTGCACTGCTCCTGGAGGCACTGCGGAGGAGCCTCTGACCGCTGCTCAGGAGGGGGTGGGGTTGAGGCCCGGGGAGGAGCTAGGCCGAGCTGCCTGGCTCTGGGCACACAGTAGGCAGGAGGGGGCCTGCAAGAGTGCAGTGGGTGGGCTGCAGCTGGTCCGTTTGCCCTGGGACAGAGCTGAAGGTTGACATGAAGGGAGATCCCAGCCCGAGAGAGTCAGGGGACTTGGTGTGGGCAACCTTGGGTGCACTTCAGGTACCTGGGCAGCAAAGGGCTTGCCCCCTCTCCCACCCACCTTTTCTACCCAGCACCTCCTGAGATCTGGGCTGGGTCGTTTGTTGGACCCTGGCACCACACTGTGGGGCTCCCTGTTCCATGGGCACTGGGGCAGAGGGCCTGGTACAAGGCCAAGAGGGGGGTATTCACACTGAGAAGCTGATGTGGCTTCATTCATTTCAAGCATTAGTTGCACCTGCCAAGCCTAGGCCCAGAGGGCTCCTGCTTTAGGGTTAAGGGCCTGGGGTGGCAATAGGGCAGGAGTGGGTAGGGGATGTAGATGTGCCCAGGAGCAGCAGCCAAGTGACCTGTGGACACTCACAAGTCTGGCCCCTACTTCTCTGACCCCACCACCCTCTTCTGGGTTGGCAAAGGGTGCCAAGCTGGGACCCATGGCTCCCCTCTCTCCTTTGGGGGGATCTGGAGACCCTCCCACCCTCCAAGGCCTGGCACATGCATCTGTCCTGCCTCATGTCGACAGCCAGGATGGGGGGCTGCTGAGTCCTGGAGGACAGGTTTCTGGCAAACACAGGAAGGAGCTGTCCCTTCTCCAGGCTCTCCAGGTCTGGCCCTGACCTCCCATATCCTGGCCTGCCTTTTCTAGGCAGTATGTGCCCTCTCTTTCATTGTTTATCGTCCCACAGTCCCTGGCTCTGTCTTTGCTTGCTCAATCTCTCGCTTACACTCTGGTCCCCAAATGCTGGGGCAGTGAGCCCGCCAGATTGGCCTCCTGGGGCACATTTTCCAGCCCTACCCCATGGCACCCAGTGGGCCTGTAGCCCAGCGCACTTGCCTAGAAGCCAGGCTGGGTTCCCAGTCTGCCCCGAATAGCCTTCTCTATTTCAGAGGTTGCTGAAGGGAAGCCCCAGGAACACTTGAGGCCTGGGGCTCAGCCAGGAGTCTGGCCCTGGATTGGAAGAACAATTTGGCCCCGGGTAGGCCCCCATATCCCATGCCTCACAGAAGCTGTAGGGGAGAGTAAGGAGACATCTCCATTTGGCTCTTTATGGGGAACTGAGGTCTGTAAAACCGAGTTCCTGGGCTCCCCCCAAGTGCCCCATCCCAGGAAACAGCATCCTACCTGCCAGTTGCTCAGGCCCAAACCTCAGAGCCATCCTTGACTCCTTCCTCTCATGCATCTGAACAATTAGCAATTACCTTTGGCTCCAGCCGCACGGTATTTCCAGACTCCAACCACTTCTCCCTGCTTCTATCACCTGGAGGACTTCAGCCGCCCACCAGCGGGCTCCCTGTCCTCCTAGCCCTGCCACTTCCCAAGTCCACCTTTCACTCAGCAGCCAGAGACCCTTTAAAACCTGAACCTGATAGCATCCCACCTCTTCTCATGCCCACAGGGGCCCCCATCTCACTGTTGGGTTGGGGGAGTCAGAGGCCTCTCTCTGACCTACAAGGGCCCGTGTGCTCTGTGTCCTCCCCCCAGAGTCTGCCCCCAACCCCACCCTCATTCCTCCCTTCTCCCCCTCACTCTACTCCAGCCACATAGCCCCTGTTCCTCAAGTGAGGTAGCCCTGTCTGCCTCAGGGCCTTAGCACTGGCTGTTCCCTCTGCCTGATGCTCTTCCCCCAGATACCTGCACAGCTCCTGCTGACCTCCTTCAGGTCTCTGCTGAAATGTTGCTTTCTGAGCATGACCTTCTCTGACCATCCCTTGTAAAACATCATCACTCCAACTTCCACCATCCCTCTCTGTCCCCTCCCTGCCTTGTTCTTCCCCACAGCTCATGTCACCTTCCAACACACTTGATCATTCACTTGTCCTTCGGCTTTCTTGTCTGTCTAGCCCCTCTAGACAGGCAGCTCCATGAGGCAGGATATCTTCTGTCCTGTTTGTTGCTATAGCTCAGAGCTGCACAGCAAGGATCAGGGCTGCAGTTGAAAGCTAGGAGCCTCTGTCTCTGGCCAGCTCACTGAATGTGTGCTAAAATGGGAGGCCTGTGATTCCCCTCACAGGGGAAGGGATGCAGTATCCCTCTGGTGGGACATTTGCCCCAGAGGCATCGGGTTGGACAGAGTGTTGTACGTGGATTGGGTCCGTGCTTCTTGCCTCTTTCTGCTCCAGTCATGGCCAGGGCAGCTCTACTTGGCCAGGAAGGGGAGGTGAGCAAGCTGCATGCATCCCACCCCTAGTATTGGTAAATGGGGGACCCCTTCTTCCAGGTCAGAATTCATCCCAGAGTTGTGTGCTTTCAGGAGAGCATGCTGCACACCCACCTGGAGCATCACCCAGAGGGCATAGACCTGGTGCCTGCCTCCAGGAGGCCGTGGATGCAGGGGGCTTAGAACAGGACGGACAGTCTCAGAGGGACCAAGTGTACAATGACTGGTCTTAAGGAGAGAGAGATGCACCAGAGCAGAAAGGACGGGCCTGTCTCCCCACCAGCTTGCATTCCTGCCTCCCCACCTGTGGTGTTCCCACTGGGGCTCCTCCGGAAGCTGACTCTGAGACAAGGAAATGATGAGGGCGGTTCATCTGGGAGGCAGTCTCTGGAAGCACTGAGAGTGTGGCGGCGAGGCAGAGAGGTGCTTTATCAAGACAGTTCCCACTGTGGGCAGCGAGGGCTCACTTGGTGCCCTCCGGGAGGCAGTGCAGGACACCTCAGGCTTAGCCCACCAGGAGGATGGTACACCAATGGCAAGGTCATTGCTGGAGGGCTGCTCCTGACTCTTCCAGGAACTGTTGTTAACAACCTAACGAGGGAATATTTGTTCACTTCTTGGCGTCCACCAGCACTGGAGTGTAAGCTCCGTCCCCTGCTGAGCTTGCCGCTGGCGCAGCCCTACAGGCCCCCTAGAGACGGTGGACTCAGTGAGATGATGCCTCATCCACTTGGCCTGGAAGCAGGGGAGTGAGGGGGGCTGCCTTTACGGGTGATTTTTCTGGAGGAGGGAGAGGACCTGGGTGCTTGGGGAGCTGGAGGGAGAAGAGAGAGGATGGAGTGGTGAAGAGCCAAAGGCCCAAGTCTAGGAAGTGGGCTAGGGAAGTGGGGGAGAGAGCAGCTGGGGGCGGCTGAGGTGGCTTTCCTGGCTGGGATGAGCCCAGCTGGTCCCCTCCACCTTGGGCCTCCCTGGGGAACCTCTGGCCTGAACCGAGACCCAGGCTCAACCTTGCTCTGTCTCCCCATTTATGTTTCCATCCCCTTCCTTCTTCCCCACCTTGGGACTCATTTCTGGAGGGAGGGCCCCTTGGGGACTTCCCAGGGGATGTTCCCTTGGAGGAGACGGAGGTTGGGGGGCCTGGTTTTTAGACCCAAAGAGAAGGCAAGAGGAAGCCAGGCCTGGGATCTTGTTTTCTCAGGGGCCTGGAGACCTGGGGGTCCCACAGGCATCCCAACCATCACAGAAAGGCAACTTAGTCTGCTCAGACCACCATAACAAAATTCGATAGCCTGAGTGGCTTAAACAACAGAAATGTATTTCTCAAAGTCCTAGAGGCTAGAAGGTGCTGGCCTCTTGGGTTCCTGGTGAGGCCTCTCTTCCTGGCTTGCAGACGGCGGCCTTCTCGCTGCGCTCTTGCTTCCTCAGTCTATGTGCATGGGGAGAAAGAGCAAGACCTCTCTCTTCCTCTTCTCATAAGGACACCAACCCTATTAAATTAGGACCTCACCCTTATGACCTCATTTAACGTCAATTACCTCCTAAAAGCCCTATCTCCAAATACAGTTACATTGAGGGGTAGAACATCAACATACAAATTTGTGGGGACACAATTCAGTCTTTAACAAAGGTCTATGGGATGTTAGCCCAAAGAGGGGATGAGTTGTGAGGTCATCCAGAGAGATGAGTCTCCTGTTTTGAAAGCTCTGTAGCTGTGGGAAACATGGGTAACAATAGCTATAATAATAATAGTGGTTAACACAGTGCTTCTTACATGCTGGTTACTCAATTCAGCCTCACACCAACCCCATGGCGTAGGTGGTATTATCACCTCCATTTTGCAGGTAAGAAAACTGAGGCACAGAATTTAAGCAACTTGCCAGGATCACACGGCCAGCAAGCCGCAACACTGGGATCTGAGCCTAGTCCTTCTGTCTGGCCCCCAGACAGTGCTCACAGCCACTGTGCTAGGGTAGCAGGAGAGCAGGTCGACACCCGTGAACCAGTCCCAGAAAGATGAGGCTCATGGCAGGTGTGACCAGGAACTGTACCAGGGGGTAGGGGTGGGGTAGGTGAGGGCTGGGATATTCAGGGCAGGCTTCTAAGAGGGGTGGGATTGAGTTGGTCATTTTATCCTGAGGAGAGGTAGTGAGGGGAAGGAGGAAGGCACGCACCCCAGGCAGGGGGAGGGCGTGAGCAGAGGGGCAGAGGCTGGAAGGCACACAGAGTCCCGAGGAGGAGGGCAAGGACAGCCCCTGACAGCTAACCTGGCTCCTCACTGCATCTCTGCATCTGGACTGTGGCAGCCCCTGTGTGGCCCCAAGTCAGGCACTGTGAGCCCGTCCATCTTGGGTGAGGTGAGCAGGGGAGGAGCTGCTGGGAATGTCTGTGGGACCTGAGGCCCGCCCGGGGTGAGGGGAGGCAGCTCTGGCTTCCCATGCCCCTGCCCCGATTTGAGCTGAGCCCTCCCTTAGGCCAGGAGGGCTGGGGTGACCCCCACCCCCACCCCCCACCAAGTGCTGGCTCTGGGCTGAGCACGGGGTTGTGGGTGGCAGGGGAAGGACTCACCCTGGGATCTGAATCTGACTGTCTCCTCCCTGCTGTGTGACCTCGGACAAATTATTAACCTCTCTGAGTCTTCTAGAAGGCAGGGAGTCTTTGCCCATCTCAATGCGTTGTTGTGAGGATTAGAAATAAAGTGTATATGAGGAGGCTGGCACATAGTAGGTAATCAAAAATGTTTGTTGTAGTTGACATAATGGGAAAGTGAATAGAGGGGTAGTGTAAGAGCTGGAGGTTGTTGACACCTGCTCTGTTTGTGTGCTGTAGAGTCCCTGAGGAGGGGGCCCCATGCTGAGGGCAGAACTGTCATGAGGGCTCAAGGAGGAAGACCTGGAACTGGACCCTGAGGGTTGCCCAAGAGGAGAGGAAGGGGACCCCAAGAGAAGCAGGACACCTGGCAACAGGACAGGTGGCATCCAGGATTCCCCTCTTGTGAGATTCTTTGGTTGTGTCACCAACATTATCAACATTTATTGGGCACCTACTGTGTGCAGGTGATTATTTGTCTCTGGAGTAAAGAATTCAGTGTTTCTGTTATTTAATGAATGAATGTTCCAGAAGGTTCTTGGCATGTATTCATTCATTCAACAAAAATGTATCACACACATACTCTGTGTCAGGCACCGCTCTGAGTGCTGAAAATACAGCAGAGAGCCTGACATACAAAAATTGCTTACCTCAGAGAAGTGACATTCTAGTGGGAGAAGAAGACAGTGAACATGATGAATACTCTAATGCTGACAGCCTGTCATCTAGTGACTAGTGCTGTGGAGAACAATAAAGTGAGCAGAGGGAGAAGTGGGGAGTGCTGAAGGTAGAAAAAGAGTTGCAGGTTTAGATGCAGGGAGGACATTCGAGCAGACCTGGAAATCTCGGGAGAGCGTTCCTAGCAGATGCAAAGGCCCTGGGGTTAGAACAGCAAGGAAGTCAGTGGGACAGGAAGTAAGCGTGGAGGGAGGTGAGGGCAGAGAGGTGAAGGGAAGGGCAGTCACACAGGGCCTCCTGGCAAGGAATCGGATTTTTACTCAAGCAAATGGGGAGTCACTGGAAGATTCCAAGTAAGGCAACAGTGGAACCTGGCATAGTGTTTACACATCAGGGTTGGTTTGGGGCAGGAGGAGAAATAGGAGCTGGGTGATCCTGAGGCCTGTAGTTAATGACTGATGATATAGGAATCCACATAGCGCCATTGTCCATACCAGGCCTGCCTGCTCTGGGCTCATGCTCTTAATTCTTCTATGCCTTCTTCAAGCCAAGGGTGGGCAGAACCTGACCAAGGTCCCTGCTCTTCAGGGTCTTTTGGGGGCAGCTGGTGGTAAGCCCAGGGCCTGAGGAGGGACACCTTTCATCCTGGAGCTCCTTTCTCCATAAAGGAAAAGTCAAAAGTCCAGCATGCAAACCTCACTTTTCCATAGTGATCTCTGTTTTTCAGAATGAGCTCCTACCCTTTGTCATTTGATCTTCAAAAGAAACAAAGTGTTGTTTTCCCATCATATCAGTTAGAAAACCAAGACCGCATGATGGTACTTGGCTGAGGTCTCACTGTTAAGTGGTAGAGCTGGAGCCAGAGCTCCAGGCCCCCCGTTCTGCATGCTGAGGGTAGACCATCCTTGTGGGCCAGAAAGGACTGGCACCCTCCCTGGCTCACAGGAAGAGAGGGTCCACCCTAAACGGGACTACTACCCCCACTACAACATGGTGACAAATCAATGCTGAGAGCTGACCGAGCTCTTCCAGTCCTGCCTCAGCCTCCGGGCCCTTGTCTGCAGTGTGGGGATGATCAGAGCGCCTGCCCTAGGGCTATTGTGAGGAGTTGATGAGTTAAGACAAGGGAACAGTCCTCCGCTCCAAGTGTGTGCTTCCTAAATGCCAGCTATTGCTATTAATGATAAAGGGCTTACAGGTCTGCAACAGCTTTACAGCCACTGGTGAGGAAGGTCCATGGGCCTTGTGCCCATCTGATGGGTTGAGGAAGACTAAGAGCATGTCGGGCCTGCACACAGGAGTGGCAGTCACTGGTCACACCAGCTTCCTGACTGAGAGATGCAGCGTTTTCAGTGATGGCAGCCACTGACTGCCATCAGGAGACATGACATTTGGCCAGAGTTCAGCCTCCCACCTGCCCCCCAGGGGGAGTGAGGCCCATTTGGAGGAGGTAGGGCAGCATGTATGGTGTGTGGCCATATGGGGCTGGGGAGCTCATGCACCCTTTCCACAGCCCCTCTCTGACCCTGCCTGCCTGTCTCCTGAGCCCACCTCTGGGGGTGTCCAGCCAGGGGTTGGAGTGGGTCAGACCCTCACCATGTCATCTAATCCTGAAGTTGAATCGTATCATCCTCATTTCACGGCCAGGCCCAGTGAGGTCATGTGAATCGCCCAAGGGCCCCTGGCAGTTTGGTGGCAGAGCAGGGGACCCCAAGGCTAGAACTATTTCTGCTATATGCTGCCTCAGCTGGCAGCCTGGAGACTTGCTACCTGCCCAACTGAGGGAGGGACCACTGCAAGTCCACCCTCCCTGCGTCTGGACAAGGTGGAGAGTGGCCGTTGCCATGCATTCCCTTCTAGCCTGACATGCCAGGTCTTAGCTGCACTCTTCCCTCTCTCCATGCTTTGAGCGCACCCTCGGTCCTGCCCCCAGGCTCCCTCAGCTCTCCTCTACCACCGACTGGAGGGTTTAAAAAGATACGCAGCTTATGTACACAGGGCAAAATTGAAAAGGTACGAAATGACCTACCATGAAAAATCTCTCCCCCACCCGATTTCCCCAGCCACCCTGTCCTCCCAAGGCAGCCACCGTTACCCACTTTCCAAAACTGTTCCCTGCTTCTGTATTCCCCCCCATACAAATGGAAGCATCCAGAGCCTCGCTGTCCGGCATCTTGCTCATTCTGTTTCAGTGACATGGCAGCGGGAGGGTTCTGTTCGGGACTAGAGCATTCCGTCACAGGCCCGCACATAACTGTCTTAACCCATCCCTGAGGTTAACCCATCCCCTGGGTGGGCATCTGGGTTGTTTCCAGCCTTTGGCTTTTACAAGTAGTGCTGCAGCAAGTGAAACTGGCATCATGAGTTCGCCTAGCTGACTGGAAGCTGAAATCCTATGAGTAGTGCTGCTGGGTGGAGGATGTGTGCCCCCTGTAATGGTGAGAGAGGACCCCAAGGTGTCCCCATCAGGGTGCACCATGTCATTTCCCCACTGCCATGGGTGGGTTCTACCTTCAGTCCTGTGAGGGAATGCCCCGACCACCAGCCCACTGACAGATGAACATTATTTGGATCCCAAAGAGCAGAACTCTGTCTTTAAGGGTTCTAGATGGGGCTCAGGCTCTGGGGATACTTACCTAACCTGCCTGAAAGTCCCGCATTAAATACCCCTGTTTTACTTCTCTGATTCTGAATTCAAAGTATTCTTTATGAAGTGAGCTCTGCTTTATAAGTGAAAAGTGCTAAGCTAAGAAGAAAAATTCAGACTCATTTCTTTGTCCCTTGATGACTTCCAGCCACCTTCCCTCTACCTGTCCCCCTCCCCCACCCTGACATGAGTTTGTAGGAGAATCTGTCTGAGGTTTTGCTAAGGGGAAAGGAGCAAAACATACTTAGTGCCTGAGAGGGGCAAGGAGGTAGTACTGGGTTCTTCCTGGGAACAGAGCACTAGCCTCTGGACAGATAGGGAGACTGTGGCTAGAGAGGGAAGGGACATCCTTGGTCAAGAATCCTCACTTGTTGGGGCCACCTGCCCTGAGCCTGAGGGCCAACTGCTGGCAAGGGACCCCCAGGTTGGACTGAATCTTGCAGTCCTCACCCTCACAGGGTTCCCAGTCCCCAAGATTGCAGCACAGAGGCAGGGGGCATCCCCTGCCCGAGGCTGACAGCTCCTAGTGGGGTCAGGCCTGTCCCGGCCTTGCTGCCCTTTGAAGACCAGGCCTCTAGCCCTCTGGGTCCTGTCCCCTGACTGCTGAGCTCTTCTTACCTGGGGTGGCAGCAAGGCCTGGGTTGGGGATGGGAGTAGGGCAGCCTTCTCCATCCCTGGGGCAGCACACGGCCTAGATTAGCCAGCTGTGATGCCTGATGACAGATCCAGGCCACACACAGCTGTCCTGATGCTCACAGTAGTCTGACCTGTGGGCCATGAAGCTGCATGTCCAGGACTCTTAGGAGACATGTAAGCAGCTAATGGAGGCTTTTGAGGCTGGACACCAGGGTGGCCAGGAGGGCATTTACAGGGACCAGCGGCTCAGAGAACTAAGGCACTCAGCCTGGGCTGGAGGTGGGAGGGGGCCCTTCTTCCAGTTTCCCAGGAAGCTTGGATCCAGGCTGCAAGTGGGGGGTTTGGGGAGCTGAGACCAGGGACTCTGTGTTGGGTGAGGGTGGGGGAGCTGAGGAGGATCTTCTGGGCTGCTGCAGGGGTCTGGCTGTGTCAGGCAGGTTGAGAAGCCAGCTGGGGTTCATTGAGCCCCATTGGGTTCTACAGGGTGCCGGTCCCTGTGGAGGGGTACAGACATGGAAAGATAAGCCTGATTGCGGGCTTTGAGGGGCAGTATGTGTCTACAAAGCAAACCGCACACTTATATAGAGTGAATGTGTAACTGTGGCTCCAGCTTTCAGCTCCGAGTCCAGGAGCACAGAAACAGCTGGGGGAGCATGGTTCTCATGGTTGCGGCAGGCCTCTGAGAAGAGGTACCCATGTGGGAGCTGGAGGAAGAATTTGGGGGAGAGGGGAAGGAGAGGACATGAAGTGAAGGGCTCCTGGGGCGCTGGGCATGAGGGGGGCTACAGGTGACTCTTGGGGTTTCATCAGAGGTGTTGAGCTAGTCCCTGGGCAGGAAGTCCCCAAACCAAGGCTCATGTCTCTGGCAATTTGGGACCCCAGGCCTGGAATGGAACACGTGGGGCACTTCCCTCATCTCCAAGGATCTTTCTCCCGCCCTCCCAGCGCATGAACAGCCCAACCTGCTGATCATCGCTCTGCATCAGTCCAGCCCCCCACGGCCACACCATGTCTGGCTCCTACGACGAGGCCTCACTAGCTCCAGAGGAGACCACTGACAGCTTCTGGGAGGTGAGGCTTTGAAGCTCCCCAGGTCAGGGGACCAGACAACCTGGCTGTCTGGGAAGCCAGGCTCCCCCCACCCCCACCCCCCCATGCAGGCAGCTGTAGCCGCGAAGTGGGGTAAAAAGATTACTGTCCACAGGAGCTCAGAGCTCCTCTGCCCCACAGCTGCCCCCGAGACATCTGGTAGCATTTCATGATGTGGAATAAGCTGCTCCTGATGCTCTGCTCTGGGGGTCCTGGCTCAGACCCTGGCCCTTCTTCACACAGCCAGGTGTGGGGCTTCACAGTTTACACAGTCTTTCACAGCTGCTGCCCACCCCTACCCTGTGAAGTGGGCAGCAGGTGGAGCACTGGTCAGAGAAGTGGAGTGAATTGGGGGAGCCCCATGGCAACGAAGGGGTGGAGACAAGACTAGAAGCCAGCATTTCAGGAGCCTTCCAAAATATTTGAGACCCAGAAAAAAAATTTTCTATTGGCTTCCAAACCCAAAGTGAAAACTGCCAAACCTAAATTAATAAGTGTCTAATGAGATGTCTACAAAACATAATATTATGTCAAGAAGCTGCAGCTCAACTCAATGCTTATATGATTCTATATAAATATAATAGATTTAGCTCACACGAACTAAATGAATAATTCATTCTAGTCCAAGTCCAAATTATAAAAATCCCTATGCATTTTGTGGCAGCAAGGAAATTATGTTTACAGTGGGATGAGGGGGTGTAAGAGACGGTGGGGTGTGATGCAGGGTGCCAAGGCTTTTGAAATGAGGCGGTCTGGAGCCCCCAGTGCATCACCACCGGATGCGCGGCAGTGAAGGGAGAAGATCGGTGCGGCAGGCGCCCCCTGCAGGACGCGGCATTCAGGGCGGGCGCACCGGGTTGGCGGGGCGGGGAGCCCGCGGGAGTAGTGCCTGCCCCTTGGCCGCCAGGTGGGGAACTACAAGCGGACGGTGAAGCGCATCGATGACGGGCACCGCCTGTGCAACGACCTGATGAACTGCGTGCAGGAGCGCGCCAAGATCGAGAAGGCGTACGCGCAGCAGCTCACCGACTGGGCCAAGCGCTGGCGTCAGCTCATCGAGAAAGGTGCTCCCCCATGCCCACCCGTATGCACGCCCCGGACCTCAACAGGTCCCCCAGCTGCCTGGGTCCTGGGAGCACCAGCCACTTGGATGCATGTGCATCCTCCGGCAACAGGGCCTTTGCGGGCACTGACCCTACATCTGCATTCCTCCCCTCCCAAACCAAGCCTGGCCTCCCTCTCCCTGCTCAACTCAACTTGATACAATTATAGGTTGGATTAAAAAAACAGTAATTTTAATTTTCAAATAATTTAAACTTAGAGAATAGTTGCAAAATAGTACAGAGAACTGCATACCCTTCACCCAGTTAGCATTGTACCATTTATTTTTTTCACCGCTCTCAAATTTAAAAAATGCTTTTTTTCCCAAACTGTTTAAGTGGAGCCTTCACCCTAAGTCCTTCACATATCTCCTAAGAATAAGAACATTTGCTCATGTAACCATAGTTCAACTGTCAAATTCAGGACATTTACTATGGCCCACATGCAAACTTTGTTATAGCAACTGTTTGTGCTGGTCCAGGATCCAATCCAGAATCACACATTGCATTTAGTTATCCTGTCCCTAGATTCCTTTAATCTGAACAGTTTCAAGTTGGGCTCTACATGTATTTGTTAATGTTTTTCTCTCCCACTAGACTCTAAACCCCAAGAGGGCAGAGGCTGGGTCCATATTGCTCAGCAAGTGCCTGGCAAAGAGTTGATGCCCAATATACAAGCAAAAGACTGGAATGTCTGGTTCCAATGGCTTCCTGGCATGTCTCCATGTCATCCAACCAACCAAATGTCACTAGTTGGTTCTTGAGTTGATATTCAGCCAACATTCCTGGAGGACATACTGGTGGTATACTGGTCTTTTGAGGGCTCATGGGATCCAGGCTGTCTCCCATGGGCTCACAAGCTGATAGGGAGACAGGGAGGAGGCACAGAGGCAGATACTATAAGAAGAATTTAGTGAGTGCTGCAGGCTAGGAATGTGAGGATAGAGTAGTCAGAGAAGGCTTCCTGGAGGAGGTGGCTGTGCTTGGGCCCTGGAGGATGGATAAAACAAAAGAGAGCAGAGGAGGCTATTTCTGCTGCTGTGGGAACTATGGGAAAAGCCTCAGAAAAAAGAGGTGTGAGGGGGGCCTACTGACCCCATCCCCGTTTCCTCAGGCCCACAGTATGGCAGCTTGGAGCGGGCCTGGGGCGCCATAATGACAGAGGCAGATAAGGTGAGTGAACTGCACCAGGAGGTAAAGAACAACCTTCTGAACGAGGACCTGGAGAAGGTCAAGAACTGGCAGAAGGACGCCTATCACAAGCAGATCATGGGCGGCTTCAAGGAGACCAAGGAGGCTGAAGATGGCTTCCGCAAGGCCCAGAAGCCCTGGGCCAAGAAGATGAAGGAGGTATCCAGTGGGTGGCTGCTGTGGATGGGGCCAGGGAGGGTGGCTGAGCTGAGAGGGGCAGTCTGATCAGAGGGAGGGTGTCTGTAGATGGGGGAAAGGCAGTGCCCACAGGGATGCCACACAGCCTTCCAGTAGGAAATGTCCACAGTGGCAGGCACTGCAGTGCCTGTCCGATGGGAGGGTGTGCGTAAGGGCAGCAGGCAGGGCCATGCAGGGAAACATCCACAGATGGGTGGGCACCGGTCCCAGATACCTGGAGCTGGGCCTGCAGTCCTTCTGCCTCATAAGGATGTGAGCTCACAGCTCCCACCTCAGGAGACAAGAAATGGACAGTGGGAGGGTTTTCTTCCTTCTTACAAGAAGGAGCCCTGCCTCCTGTTATCCCCTCCCCATAGCTAGAGGCAGCCAAGAAGGCCTACCATCTGGCCTGCAAAGAGGAGAAGCTGGCCATAACACGGGAGATGAATAGCAAGACGGAGCAGTCAATCACCCCTGAACAGCAGAAGAAGCTGCAGGACAAAGTGGACAAGTGCAAGCAGGATGTGCAGAAGGTGCCACAGGGCTGGGATCCGAGGGTCCCTGGTGGCTGGTGGCTGGAAGCTTCAGGCTAGGGTCTTACTCTCCCTTTGCCCTGATGCCTACAGACGCAGGAGAAGTATGAGAAGGTGCTAGATGATGTGGGCAAGACCACACCCCAGTACATGGAGGGCATGGAGCAGGTGTTCGAACAGTGCCAGCAATTTGAGGAAAAGCGACTGGTCTTCCTCAAGGAGGTGCTGCTGGACATCAAACGTCACCTCAACCTAGCTGAGAATAGCAGGTAGCTGGGCATGGCAGCATGGTGGACACGGGCACAGGCAGCAGAGGGTAGAACTAGTATGCAGGGCATCCTGGCCCCTGTGTTATAGTAACACAGCGCTGCAGGGGCCAAGGGGGAAGAGATTCCAAATGCAGTGGCTGCCTGTGTGTAAGTCATGCACATTAGGTACTCAAGAAACATCCTTGGATGGATGGGTGAGTGGCTAAGGTGGGGATGGAGAAGGGTGCCCACTGGGCATGCTGGGAGCTGCCCACACTGAGACTGTGCCTTGGAAGCTCCACCCAACTCCTAGCTGGAGGGCATGCCAGCACCCTGGGCCCCTGAATGGGCTCTGGCCCTCCCTAAGGTTGAAAAAGGGCCTTGGTTCATCTTGTCCCCCACCTCCCCATCTCCTCTGTGCACAGCTACATCCACGTGTACCGGGAGCTGGAGCAGGTCATCCGGGGGGCCGACGCCCAGGATGACCTCAGATGGTTCCGCAGCACTAGCGGCCCAGACATGCCCATGAACTGGCCCCAGTTTGAGGTGAGGGTGTGTGGGGATGGAGAAGGGAGTCTGAAAAGCCTGGAAGGGGGCTCAGGGAGCAGCGCTCTGGCCTGACTGCTCCCCTGGCACCCACCAGGAATGGAACCCAGACCTCCCTCACACCACCACCAAGAAGGAGAAACAGCCCAAGAAGGCAGAGGGGGTGATGCTGACCAACGCCACTGGGGTGGTGGAGCCCACATCCCAGGCAGGGGACCGTGGCAGGTGAGTGCCTCCTGTGGAGCTTCCTGGGCCTGCACACTGGGGCAACTGAATTTTACTTCAGGAGACAAGAAATGGCCTGAATTACAGCAACCTCATGCTTCTCTCAGATAGTGGTAGCTGATCCTTTGAAAGCACCTACTGTGTCCCCAGCACTGTTCTAAGCATTTTCCATATATGAACTCATTGAAGCCTCCTAACATTCTGAGAACTGTGTAAACGGTCTCATTTACAGAAGGAGAAACTGAAACCCAGAGAGGTTAAGTGACTTGCCCAAGGTCACACAGCTAGTCAGTGGGCCTCAGAGCCGGAATATGATGCCCAAGAGGCCAGGCTCCAGAATCCTCACTCTTAACCACCAGGCTGTACCACCCCTCTCAGAAAAGGGGTCGGATGTTCTCTGGGGTCTCTTTAAGCACCTCCTCACTCTAGGGCTGAGTGGAAATGCTAATAGTCCTGCCTCCCATCTGTTTAAAGAGCTTTCAATGAGGGCCGTTGGCTCTGGACCCCTCTCACGAGGCCCATCCGTGAGAGGCAGTACATGCCAGGTCCTCTCTCCACCCTCAGTGTCAGTAGCTATGACAGGGGCCAGCCTTATGCCACCGAGTGGTCGGACGACGAGAGCGGGAACCCATTTGGGGGCAATGAGGCCAACGGGGGTTCCAACCCCTTCGAGGACGACGCCAAGGGGGTGCGTGTGCGGGCACTCTACGACTACGACGGCCAGGAGCAAGATGAGCTCAGCTTCAAGGCGGGTATGGTGCGGGGGCTGGCGGGGCGGGGCCTGAGGGCAGGGGAAGCAGGGATTTGCGGGGCATGAGGCGGGGGCGGGGCCTGAGGGCAGGGGAAGCAGGGATTTGCGGGGGCCGAGACTCAAGCTGGAGGGCGACTGCGGGTCGGAGAGTGGCAATTGGGTGGCGGGGACGGAGTCAGGACCTGAGAATCGAGTGAGGGCAAGTCCAGGGCGTGGGGGACTGGGAAGGGACCAGAGAAAGAGAGCTGGGGGCGGAGCCTGGGCCTTGGGAAGCTGGTCTGAGACCCAGTTAGGTGTGTGGCTGGGGCAGCAGGTGGGTGTCGGGTGCTGCTGGCGCTGTTCTTCAGCGGCGGGCTTTGGGGCAACGATTGGGGTCAGGGTGGGAGGGGGCTGGGCATCGGGGTCGCCCAGCATAATCGTTTTGGAGGGCTAGCAGTGTGGGGTGGGAGTCCGCCCTCTCTGAGCTCCTGTCACGGAGCTCCTCTGTGCCTCTTCCTAGGAGATGAGCTCACCAAGCTGGGCGAGGAGGACGAGCAGGGTTGGTGCCGCGGGCGGCTGGACAGCGGGCAGCTGGGTCTCTACCCAGCCAACTACGTGGAGGCCATCTAGCTGCCCTTCTGCCCTCCGCACTTCCCCCCTCCGTCACCCACAGCCTCCCCTCCCTTCTCACTCTCGTCTCCCTCCCCTTGCCATAGAGTTCCAGACATATTTTCCGACCAAGCTTTTATTTTTTTAAAAGTTAAAACAGGACAAAACAAAAATTACAAAGAGACAGAGCACTCTCAGGGCCGCCCGGAGGCCAGGGTGGTGGGACTTGCGGTGATGGCTCCAGCGTAGGCGAGGGTTTGGGGACTTAGCGCAACAGAGACATCACGTCTGCTCTTCAGATCCCACCAAAGAGTCTCCGGGGCCCTGAGGGATGACTCCTGGACCCTTCGCCCCTGTCCCACTGCCCCCACCCTACCTCAGCCCTGCCCTCCCTCCTCAGGCCGCCAGCACCTGCCCCCATTCCCTGGGCCTGGTTTTCCCCACCTCTGCCTCCTGTCCACCCTGCTGCCCTTCCACAACCGCCCTTTTCAAAGGCCTCCACTCCAGACCCCAGAAAAAGGAGGCCTCCCAGTCTGTAGTCTTCCACTGCCTTGGGGAGTGCCCTTCTAGTTCACCCCTAAGGATTGGGGGGCCTGAGGAGGAATGGTCACTCTCCTCCCCCTTAGAGATTCCCAGGAATCCCCAGGCTCCCCCAGACACAAAGAGGAGTAAGCTGGACTTGGTGACAGTCGGTGGTGTGGAGGAGGGTGAGAGAAGGGGCAGCAGTCCGCCGCCTTCCCAGGCCAGGCTTGGCGCCGCTGAGGGACGGCGACTCCGCCGGGGCCCTTCATCCTGTGGGCACAGGCTCCTCCTCAGGGCCACACCCCTCCGGCACTCGCAGAGACCCCGCTCCCTCTCAGAAGTCCTCAGGCTGAGGGGAGGGGCCTCAACGCCCCGGGCACAGCCGGCGACAGTAGCAGCCTCCTCCCGTTTCTTGGGGAGGAGAGCATCGCCCGCCCATTCTGCCTCCCTCCCTCCTTGTCCGTCTAAAACCGCAGAATCACTAGGCGCAGCCAACCTCCACGAGACTCCCCATCCCTCTCTCCTCCTCTCTGGCATGCCTGGGGAGACACTGCAGGCCCAGGGAAGCTTCCAGCCTGGGGAGAGCCTGCAGCCAATGGGAGAGGCATGGGGTTGGCAGGGGGGAGAGCCCTGGCCCTCAGGAGCAGAACAGTCATCCTGTCTTTCTTCCTTGTCCCCCGCCTGCCAAACCCAGCGCTAGTCCCTGGAGCCACACTCCCCTTGCTGGCAGCCTCTCCATATCTCCAAGCTTGGGTCTCAGTTAAAGGACTTTTGGGGATGGGAGGAGGCAAAGGGCCTGCCCAGAACAGGAGTGTTTCCCATGGTTGGTGAAAGTGGTGCTGGATTACCAAGTATCCATACCAAGTATGGCCTCCCCCTGGGAATGGGTGGTGCAGAAGCAGGCAGGGCTGGACAAGACCCCAAGAGTGGGTGGGGGGAATGGCTAGAAAAGGAGTCTCTTGGGAAGGTCTGGAATGAGTCCCTGGGACTTTCTGAGGCACCAGGTGAGCCTTGATCACAGCTGATACCACTTCTGAGCCTCAGGACTTAGGACCCCCCTTTCCAGAGACAATACCAGCCCCCCTGGGCCTTCAAGTAAAGAGAGTGTGAAACTCCAGCCCTTCTGTCACCCCTCAGTCCTCTTTTGTTCCCTGCTTCTTCCAACAACCCTCTTTTAGGAGGTCATAGACCCCAGCCTCAAAGCCCTGACCCTGTTAATGTGGGCAAGAAGATCCCAGCAGACTGGCAGGGGTCTGAGCTGGGGCTGCCCTCCCTCAGGGCCAGGAGAGTTGGGGGGTGGGGTGATGGCACTCCCAGGAACAGGCACACTTCCCCCAGCATCCCTCTTCTTGTCACTGTCTGCTCACTGGGCCTTTGCTGCAGCCTGAGATGTGCCCTAGGCCAAACAGAGCCTGAAGCAAGATTGCGGAAGGCCTCAGTCCTCCAGACACCAGAACAAGAGCCTTTTCAGCTTCTCTTCCAAGCAGAAGTTGGGGTTAGAGGTCTCTGCCCCCCACCAAGTACCCTTTGAAGGCAGGAAGCTGGCACATGTGCACCTTGGGGCCTGGGCTCCCCCTCTCTGTGCCAGCAGCTTCCCAACACTTGGGGAAGGGATGTGGCTCCTCTGGACCCCAGGCCTGTACCCCTTAGCACTCTAGCTGCCCACTCTGGGGGACTTGAAACCCCATTCCTTTTGAGTAACCACCGCCGCAGCCCCTTTTGGGGCCACTCTCTCCTTGGGACCCCGGAGTGGGAAGGTCTCCCAGCTGGAAGACCCTCTGAGCTCCAGGGACCCAGCCCCACCTATCAGCACTGGTGTCAGGGCATTCAACACAGCACCCCTCGCTGTGCCCACCACCTCCTGTAGCCCCCGCCCGCACCCTCAATGCTGCATGGGCCCTCCCTGTGGGGCTCGGTGTAATGTGTTTTGTCCCCAGTTAACCACTGTTCTGCGGCCTGACTCTGTAAAGAGCCTGTGCTGCCCTGATGCCCACCTCTGCCATCCTTGGCTTCTTGACTCCATTAGTCTGACACTTGTGAAACTCTGAGAAGTGCTGTGGTCTCAGCAATGCACCTGTTTTATACATGATTTAAAGGTATATAAATACAAATATATATATATAAGTTGTGATTGTATGACTGTGGATAAAATCCAGAACTGTGTCAACCTGGCTGGACATTGTTATCTTGAGTCGTATCTTTCACTCCCTCTGAGAGTTACATGTGGTTGGGGTATATGTTGGCAGAGGTAGTGCCCAGCATGACTGGGTGCTTTCCTGGCTGACCACCAACTGGCTAGAAGACTGAACGCTGGTCCCTTCACCTTCCAGGGCCCTGAGGCTGTGGCCTTTAGGGTCCTGGGTGCAGGTGATGAGATCTGACCAAGATAGCTAGGGCATTTGGAGTCCCAAACTCAGAGTTCAAGGGTGAATTTGACCCACAGGCAGATTTCAATTTTTAAAGCAAAACTCTAGAAGGACTGCTGAGGCCTGTGGTTCCTGTCTATCCACAGTCCCAGGCTCCCTATAGTATGACATTGGGCCATGCTACATTTTCTGCGTCCTGCCCGACCTCCAGCATTTCTGTCTGGGACCCCTAGGAGGGCTCCTGCAAGAGATTTCCTCAGGAGGCTATGCAGGATGGGGTCTCTGGGTCTCTGTATTACCAGGCCCAGGCCCTGCTCTAGTCTCCCCACCTCCAGCAAGATCTCTTCTGGGACAGGGCAGGCATCCCAGGCCCAGTCCCAGTTCTGCCATCAGTTCATTACATCCCCATGTCCTGACCCCAGCCTCATCCCCTAACAGTCTAGTTAGATGTCTCTCTGAGGCCCCTCTGGCCCTGGCAGCCGGACAGGACCCTGACACAAATCTGTTCAAGGCAGATACACTGCAGTCCCCTTGCCCCCTGCCCCCAGCTATCCCCTAGCCTCAGGGTGTACCCAGGAGGGAGAAAAGGTCAAGATGAGGTTGAATCTGTTCTCTACCCTGTATCTTGCACCCCTCAAATCTGCCTCCAGTGACAAGCCCCTGCTTTTAGCCAATCAGAGAACTTCAAGTAAAGACAAAAGGTTTCCTTGTCTTATTCGTGCAGGTTGCTGCATGTAGTTATGGGAGCCCTGCAGGCAGGGTCCTGTGAAGAGGGTCAGGGAATACCTAGGTTAATGGGGCTCTGATGGGCAGATGTGTGGAGGAGGAAGAGAAATCTGGTTTGCCACCAGCACACAAGGTGTCACGGATGTGTGTGTGCCTGTGGCAGATCCACAGCCCAGACAGCTGCCCCATCTGACCCCCCACAGCTCCCCTTCTGGAATGGCTCCAGCAACCCACTCCTAAACCCTAATCCCCCTCTGCTTCCTCCCCCACAGCCCAGCCTGGGATCGGAGGCCTCTGCAGGTCCAGGCCCAGCTGGGGACATACATGCAGGTGGCTCAAGGGACTCAGTTGGGGGCAGGGAGGGAAGACTGAAGATAAAACCAGTTCAGCGGAGTTGAGCTGGTTCTGGCCAGGGTCCCAGGCTGCCCTCTCCCTGAGGGTGGGCAGACAGCAGGGGCCCAGTGAAACACAGGCCTTGGGCAGGGCCCCCTCCTTCACCCAGTCCTGGCCCAGCTGACAGATGCCAAGGTGCTGTTTGCTCACTGCCAGGAGTAAACTTTCTTCTGGAGACAATGAAATTGCTGAGGGCACAGGTGGCAGTACAGGGCAGTGTTTAACCCTTAGTGGTTTGGGGAGCACTGGCTGGCTCCCTGTCCCATCTCCTAGAAGCCTGTCCTCAGAAGCTAAAGGTCAAGGGAGGCTAAGGGTGCCAACCAGTCAAGAAGCAGGAGGCGTGGAGGGCCAGAGAGAGCCCCGTCCTGGTGGGTTCAGTTCCAGGTTCTGCCACCAATTGGCTGTACAACTGTAAACAAGTTACTCAACTGTTCTGAGCCTCATTTCATCATCTGCAAAATGGAAGAGTAACCCGGCCTTACAGTTTTGCTCGGAAAGTTAATGACGATCAAGCAGCGGAAGCCCCTGCGTATAGCTGGCCCTCAGGGCCCGTGAGCCAGATGAGCAAACGTTTGAGAAAAGCATGAGGAAGCTGAGTTGTGCTGCCCAGGAGAGGGGTCCCCACTTCCCCAGCACACACACACGCCTGACCCACAGCCCCTCCCCGACACACTCGCAACCCTCACACCCTGCTGCTGACTCACAGCCCATGGAGGGAGCTGCAGAGGCCCGTGACCTCTCCTCAAGAGGGACACTGCACAGCCAGCCTTCCCCCTACCTTGTCTGAGGCAGAGCCAACATTCCATGAGGGGGCTGAGCTCCCAGCTTCTCCCACAGCCCCTTGGTTGGTCCAGCAGAGACAAGGGCACCAGGTCCCTTCACAGGAGGCCTGCCTGCCCCAGGCAGGAAGCTGAGCAAGGAGGCTACAGAGGCCGCCACTGCCTTCTCTCCAGTGAACCCTGTTCGGCCCCAGCCCACCTCCTTCTTTTTAGCCCACACCAGGTGGAGGGTGATGAGGACCATTCCAGCCCTTCCTTGGCCTTGAAGCCTCACTGCCTTTCTCCCACAACTTCTACCAATCAACTTTCGCTTACCTTCTAGGCTCTGCTCAATGCCACCTCCCCCAGGAAGCCTCCCTTGACCACCCAGGATCCTGCAACCACAGCCACTTTGAGCACAGAGGGCCTCCAGGCTGGGTTACTAACTCACTTCACAAACACATGCCAGCTCTAGGTAACTTTATTATCCATTCCAGCAGGACACCACTGGCTCACCAGCTCGGGGGGCAGGTGTCTCCTAGAACCATGCCAGGCATAGTACAGAACGGATGGCAGAAAGCACTGGGCTGAGGGTGGCCTTGGCCAAGTCACTGCCATTCTGTTGACTCTGCTCAGGAAATCCTGAGGTCAGAGGCTGGGGTGGAGGGAGGGCCGACACTGGAGAGCCGAGAGCACTGAGGGCAGCCCTGGCGCCCTCCATCCTGCAGCGGACTGGCACCTGAGCAGTCAGGGCTGAGGAGGAAGCACCCCCACCCCAGGGTCCCTTAAGCCCCAGAGAGTTCACTTGCACCCCTGGGAGCACTGGGTGGTCCCTTCCCTGACCTTGGACTCTGAATGCCAGCAGGCTGCTCTCTCCCCAGCTCAGGGTCTGGCCGAGGCAGGGGCAGGCAGGAGGCAGGTGTGGCAAGGGCAGTTTCAGGCCTAAGGCCTGGCCCTCGGCCCTCAGATGGGGTGCACGAACTGGTAGACGAGGCGCTGGGAGATGTCCGGCTTCCGGATGATGCCCTTTTTGTAATACTGGCGGATGGAGCGACTCAGCTTGTCATAGTTCATGGCAGGACGGTTCTTGCGGATGCCCCACAGCCGGGCCACCTGGGCGGAGTCCTCAATTTTGAAGATGCCTGGGGGAGCAGGAGGGCCCAGAGGAGCCAGTGATGCAAGTGGGGTGGCAGGAGTGGGAAGGGCCAAGGCCAGCAGGTCAGTCTCTCGGAAAGCCAAGGGAGCGAGCATCGACTGTGGGTGGGGCTGGTCTGCTGGGACCACCATATTCAGCCCCAAGGTTGTGAGGGTTAAAGATGTGTACGCAGTGTGTCACAGGGCCCCAGAAGTGGTAAATAATATGAAGTCACCAATCTGGGTGCAGGGCAAGCCTGTGTACATTTGTGGGTTATTGGGGGCCCTGAAGCCTGGCCCCTGCCAGCCTTGGCAACTACTGTGGGGTTTAAACACCCTACACAGAAGGTTCTGGACTGTGTGCACGTCTTATTTGGCAAAGTCATCACCTGCCCCCACCGCCCTCACCCTTGCAATTCCCAAGCCTGAAAGACCTTTTGGCCATTCTCAGACATTTCAGCTCACACGGCCCTTTCTGGCAAGATGAATTCAGAGGATGTAGTAGAAAGAGTGGATTTGGAGCCATGATGATCTGGATTTGAATCCTGACTTTGCCATTTTTCTACCTTTAGAAGCGTTCTTTTGTAGGTCAAAGGGGGCTAGCATGTTGTTGAGCCTGAAGGAAATACCCATTGGTATGAGCTATTACAATGCTCATACTCCCAGCTCTCATTCTAAACCCTCCTGGGAAGGGCCCAGGCCAGCATGCCCCCTCCAGGAAGCCTTTCCAGTCTACCCTGCCTTTCCTGATCTTCCTTCCCTAGAACTCTATTACGGGACCCTCTTCCCAGAGCACTGGCTCACTGTCGTCTCACATATACACACAGGGTTAGCACACCTTGTGCAAGAACTTCTCTACCTCCTCTAGCCCCTTCTCATCCTCCATGCTCAGCCCTAGAGTTACCTCCTACATGAAGTGCTCCTGGACCCAGGCACAGATGCTCCCATGACCCCATCAAAGCACCGATGTGCTCTGCACACCAGCTCACTTCCCTGCTAGTTCTATAAGACTGTAGGTACTGAGGGCAGGGTGCAGCTGAATCCTCCTGCAACCCTTGCGACACTATAATTCTGCATAAATGTTGCTGAACAAGTGTGGAACGAGATGAAGTACTCAATGAAGTTTTGTTGGATGCATGAATCTAGTCCATTTTGTGGATAAGAGGACTGAAGCCCAGGTACCCACAGCTACTAATGGCAGCATGAGGCCTAGAACCCAGGTTTCTTGGCTCTGAGCCTTTTCCAAAACACACACACACACACACACACACACACACTCACACCATTTAGTCCTATGTTGTTCAATGAGGTAGCCACTAGCCACATGTGGCTCTTGAGCACTTGAAATGTGGCAAGTCCGAATTGAGCTGTGCTAAATTTAAAATATGCAGCAGATTTGAAAACTTAGTGAAGCTGTCTCTTTAGTAATTTTTATATTGATTATATGTTGAAATTATAATGTATAATGTTAAGGTAGATAAAAGTATTACTAAAATTAAATTCACCTGTTTTTAAATTAAAAATTTTTTAACGTGGCTACTCTTTAAAATCTAATATCTCACATGTGGCTTACATTGTATTTCTCACTGGGCACCATCAGTCTCCTGGGAGAAGCGATGGTGTTTTGAGGACAAAGCTATGGTGTTTTGCTGTCCCACTTCTCAGCAGAGTTTTAAGCCTTATATGTCCCAGTCATCGTGTGGCACTGGGGACCCTAAATAAGACAGAGTCTGTGGGGACATGGATGTGGACACAAATGGCACACAGACCCTGGACTATCCAGTCAGGGCGGCATGTCTGGCCTTCAGGGCAAAGGTGGGGGCAGCTCCACCCCTCCGCCCAGCCCAACCCCTCCTTGTGCCTAGCACAGGGTAGGAACCCAGGCTGGCCCCACCAACCTTGGTACGCCTGTTTCCCCTGTGGCCCCGAGCCCTACGGTGCCCCGGCAGGGTGCCCCACTCACCCTTCTCCTTGTTCAGCCACCGGATGAAGCGGCCATAGCTGTGGGGCTTGAGCAGCAGCTCCTTGAGGAACTGCCATAGGTGGATGGGCTGCCCAGAGCAGGATGAGTCCACCTCGCTGTCGGTCCAGCCTTCCTCACTGGTGGAGGCTGAGCAGCCAGAGAGGGTGGTGGTGAGTGGGGAGCCCCCTTGCTTCGGTGGCAGCCACCTCTCAACCCCAGACCCTGGGGCCCGGCGCTCCCTGCCTGCCCCAGCTCACCGCAGTAGTGAATCGCCCCAGGTGAAGTCCTCTCTTTCATCCAGGCCGCTGTGGGGCAAGGAGAGGAGGTTGGGGACCCAGGAAAGACCCAAGGGTGGACCAGGGCATTTGGGTGGGATTGTGGGGCCATGGAAGCTTCCCTGTAGCTGGAGGACTGGGGGGTCCCCTATGGCTCCCTCCCTCCTGCCAGTCTGGGAAGACAATAGTTTACAGGGAGCTGCTTCCTAGAAGAAAACTTAGGATTCTGGAACTGGAAGGGGACTTAGAGGCCCCACAAGCAGCCCCGTGTTCAGAAGAGGAGAGCGAAAGTGGGGTCTTGCTCTGCCTCCCTTTTCTCACCTGTGAAGTGGGGCCAGGACATCCCCCTCACAGGTCCTGCAGGGTGACGAATTCTGCCTAGCACCTTGCTCAGTGCCCAGCATAAGAAAAACTCTCCCTGCCTCCTGTTGCCAAGTCCACCAAGCACTTCTATCCCCTCTTGCTCTCCACCTGGCCCCCTCCCCATCTCTCCCACCTCCAGACCAAGGGTAGGGGATAGAGGCAGCCAGCTTCCACTCTCAACCTGGCACTGGCCACTGCCCATGTTAGCCCCTGGCCAGTGGGCTGGGCTGGGGCAGGACACTGGTGTCTGACTGGGTCATACAAGTGGGTCCTGTCCTCTTACTCATTCTGGGCCCTTAAGGGGAGGGGCCTTGAGTCATTGAGCAAACACTGCCTCCTTTAAAGCACCTGGCTGTGTGTAGGGCACACAGCGGGCTCCCAGTGAGATGGAGATGATTTAAACACCAAGGGGTTGGGTACAGCCATTAAAAATAGGGTAGCTGTATAGATACCAATGGCGAACAAGGTCCAAGATGCCCTAAGTGCAGAACAGGTGACACTCTGCTACTGTCCGTGTTTAAAGAGGCAAACCCCACACACATGTATCTGCTTGTACGTGCCTAGATTGCCCCAGCAAAGCACCCAAGGAAATGGGTGCAGTGATCACCTCCAGGGAGGGGATTGGAAGGCTGAGGGCCAGGACTGAGGGGGCAATTACTTTTCATTGTACACTGTTTTTCACTAATGTCTTTTTAAAAAATTCATGCATATTTGTTACTTTATTATTTTTTTAATGAAAAACAACACAAAGTAAACAAATGAAATTGTAAAAGGCCAAAGGACTTCATAAGTACCCCTGGTTCCTGTCAGCTATGACATCCTGTGTCCTCACAGTCTAATTTCTACCTTTCAACTTCGTGTGTTCTGTCCTAAGTTCTGGAGGCGCGACCAGGGCTGTGCGGGGGCCAGGACAGTGAGTTCACCTGGGACCCAGGAAGGCAACAGCAATTGGGGCTGGACTTTGGAAGGGAGCCAAGATTGGGACTAAGGGGCTGCTTCTCCAGCTGAGAGTTACCTCCTGGACAGCACCCTGGCCTAACCACCCCCATCAGTGTCCCTGGCTTGGAGCCTGGGAGGGGCTGCTCTCATCCACACCACGTCCTACCTGATTTCCAGATGTCCAGGTGGGCGTGCAGCACGTCCCCTCCCAGGGGTGAGCGCTGGCGGAACTGCTCCTCCGACATGGCACACAGTTCCTTGCCCCCCAGCTCCTGGAAGGCCTTGCCCATGGGCGGCAGCCGGTACTGGTGCTCTGTCCACAGGAGCCACTTCTGCACGTTGCCAGGGCTCCAGTCCACAGGGTCTGGCAAGAGACACTCCTTAGTTCCAGGGGCTGAGGGGAGGGCACACCCTGATGGGGAGCCCTGGGAATGGAGAACTTGTGGCCTGGGGTAGGGCCAGGCCAGACAGGACTTTGAGGGGCCCTTTGATGGTGGGGGTACCTAAAAAGAGAGGTGGTGAGAGAGAGGAGCCAGGGCCCTAAAAGTAAAGTTGGCCCAGGGCAGGGTAGCTTGAGCCTATGCAGCTCTCTTCTCACCCAGACCTCAAATCCTTCCAGATCCTTCCATGTCCCCCAAAGGACCTTTCAGGGAGCCCCAGCTGCTTCTTGCTTTCCCCCAAACCCTCAAAGAACCAAAAAAAAACCCACCAGGAATTAGTCCTACAACTCCAATCCCCAAGCTCTACCATATTTTACAGATGAGGAAACTGAGGCACAGAGAGTTTTATCCCCTTGTCCAACACCTATGGCTGGGTGTACAGTAGCTGTTCAGTGCATGTGAGATGAATGAATGAATAATGGCACAGGGTAGCTACAGCCTCAGAGGCTAGGGGAGGAGACACTGGTCAAGTTCTCAGTGTCCCCCCTGAGTTGCTGCTGAGGAGTGAGCCTGGCAGGGCACACAGGTGGAGGCCAGTCTGGTGGGCACAGTTACAAAGGGGCCTCTAAGTGAACACTGTGGTCTAAGCTGCTGCCCCAGCTAGGTGACCTGCAAGCTGGGCTGCCCCAACTTAGTAAACCCATTTTCCTCCTTAGGGTCAAAGCAATTTGTTTCTGTTCCCATTGTTCAGATGGCAGGCCCCTCCCAGCACTGTGTGGGAGCAGAGGTGCCGTGGGAAAACCTCCTGGGGTGGGGACTGGCATGGACACTGGGCAAGCAGAGGACTGGGGCAGGGGCAGAGCCGCATCAAGGGGGGACACCAGCTGGGCCTGCTAGGGGGCAGGGGCTGGACCCAGAGGACTCCGAGGAGGAGGGACTGGGCCTGAGGGATGCCTGAAGACCCTTCCTGTGTGAAAGCAGCAGCACAGAGGGTGGGAGGCTCAAATGCCAGAGCCCAGTGACCAAGGAGAAGGGTCAGGTCTCCCAAAGCCAGGGGAATAATGCAGGACCGGGGCCTGGAGACCTGGCAGCCCCTCAGCACCACCTCCACAGCCATACCTCCCAGGCCTTGGCAGACACACATGAGCCTGGCCTCCTGATGGCCCTTCTTGTCAGAGCCCACATCACTACCAACCAGTGACACATTTATCTATTTATTTACGATATTTCCCTCACTGTAATGTCAGTTTGGTGAATGAAGGTCAGTCACCATGCAATTTCCCAGTACTAGAACAGGGCCCTGCACAATAAGAAGTTACTGTTTACTGAGCACCTGTTATGTGCAAGGTGCCATCCTAGGAACAGGGGATGTAGCAGTGAACAAAACAAATGAAAATCCCTGTCCTTGGGGTGTGTACATTCCAATGGGGGGACAGAAGTAAAAGATAAATAAATAAAATATGCAGCCTATCATATGGTATATGGGTGAAGAGGTTGAGGGATGAGCACATGCAAAGGTCCTGAGGTGTGAGTGTTGTGTGGCTGAAGCAGAGTGAATGAGGAAAGAGCACAGATGAACCCAAGAGGAGGTGGTGGGCCACATGGTATAGAGCCCAAATTCACTTCATCTAAGTGGGGACATTGGGCTGGGAAAGTGGGGCACAGAGAGGGCCCAGGCTCAAGGCTGCTGTGTGTTACGGGCTGATCGCAGGTGTAGAAGCCCCAGCATTGCTGGGGCTGCCCGAGGCAGTGCCCCTGCCCCTCCCCCAGTGACCTCAGCTCTGCCTGTGCTCCACCCTAGGGAGGTGGGCATGCTGATGGACTCACCTGCAGTGATGTTGAGCAGCTTGCAGGCTGTCTCGATGTCTTTGAGCACCTCACCCACCACCATGGACTGCACCTGCTCCAGTGAGTGTTCCTCCAGGGTCAGCCCCCCTGGTGCCAAGTCCAGGCTGCCCCCGGGGGCCTGGCTGTCAATGACTGGGCACTGCTCTGGCTCCTCAGGTGGCTCCTCCTGAGTGCTGGCCCCCGGGCCCTTGGCTGCCCAGCTGCTGTCCTCAGGGTACAGCATGTCAAAGTAGGAGAGGTAAAAGGTGGACAGGCCCTGCTCAGGTGTGGCAGGTGGGCTGGGGCTCCAGTCCCGTCTCTCAGGCCCCAGTGCCCCCACTGCCGCCTTCTCCAGGCCTGTCCGCAGCACCACATCAGGGGGCAGCAGGGGGCGGCCGGGGGGCGTGCTGCTCAGGCCTGGGCTGGCACTGCCCATGCTGCTGCGGCCTGGGCTGGCGGTTGCGTCTGCAGAAGTACAAGAGGGAGGAGAGTCAGGTCTGGCTGCTTCCCCGTCCCCATGGGGCCTGCTAAGCTGGTTATGGGGATAAGGAACCCAGTGGGCAGTGGCTGGGCCTGGGAAAGAGTTGGGGCTTTTGGGTCATTGGGCAGCTAGGACAGGGCTGGGCAGACCGGCCTCCTGGCTGGGAAAGAGTGAGGCGTGAGTCGGGTAACACTGAAGATGCACAGCCCCCGCACTCCCCAGGGAAGCCAGGTTGGCTGGGAGCAGCAAATCTTTACACACAGAGTGTGCTTAAAACAACCTCCTGAGGTTCTTGATCTCCTTCAGTTCTCACAAGTGGAGACAGGGTTAGCCCCATTTGGCAGATGGGCAAACTGAGCCCTGGGTAAAGAGCCTTTAATGTCCAGGCTCTGTCCCTGAGCAGCCCATAGCCAGATTCCAGTCCACATCCTGTGGAGGAAGCTCCTTCTGAAAGCTAACCTAAATCTTTCTTGTTTTCTTTTATTCTGCCCTTGAAAAGGGTAGGGAAAGGTGAAGATCACTGTCATCTTCACCAGCCTGGTGAGGAACGACAGGAGTAAGTGAGGCATGTGGCAGGGTAGGACCCCCTCACTAGTTGGGAAGGCAGGCCCCCTCTCTTTCCATAAGGCCATTTGATGGCTGTGTGTGAATAATTCCCAGCATAGGGCTGGTAAGGTGGTCACTGAGCAACAACCCCAGGGTGTGCTTGGCCCCACCCCCACTCAAGGCTGGGTTCCTGGTACCCACCCTACCGATTAAGGGCAAATTCACGTGTGCCCTTTCTCAGGGGTATTTATATTTTAAGCAAGCAGTGTTTCTAAAATGTGATGCCTGACCACCGGTATCAACACTACCTGGAAATGTGTTAGAAATGTGACTACTGAGTTGGAAGCTCTAGGGGGAGACCCAGCAAAGCATTTCCACAGGCCCTTTGGGTGGCTCTGATGCATGTTCACATTTGAGAATCGCTGCCTTAGAGGCATCGGGCCAGTAAGTGGGGGAGGCTTTAACCAAAGGTTGGGTAGACTCTTTAGTAGTGGGGTTTATTGTGCCACACTGGAATGGAGTTGGGGTTCCCTGGCCCATCTCCAGTCACCCCATGGAACTGTCCTGCTCAGCCTCAGTGTGCAGTGGCATTTGTCCCTGCAGGTGGGATAAGAACAGAACCTAGTTTGGAAGACAGCTCCCCTCATACAATTCAGGAAGTGATGTCCTTTTCTGTCTGGTGAGCAAAACTTGGTGAATGGAGCTCAGGTGGAATTTTGGCCCTCTCTTGTCCCCTCTTGTGCAGTGCCCAACACTCCCAACTTCACATGGAAGCCCCGCCAGTTATCAAGAAGGAGAGCATGCCAGCAAGAAAGAAAGGCGTTTCCTTTGGTTTCCACTCTCCTTTTCAAGGGCTCCTTTAAGTGACAAGGAAGGAAAGGTCAGGGTGGGTGGGGTGGGCAGGGCCAGGGAAGGGGGGCCAAGGCTGTGGGGGACAGAGGGCAGGCCTGGAATCATTTCAAGTCCTTCTGTGCAAACACACGTGTGTGCTGTGGGCCCACGTTATTTACCCAGGCAGTGCCAATAGCTCACTTTGTCCCTGGGTCCCCACCCTGGCCTGTGCCCACACCGTACCCACTAGGTGGCCCCACCCCCAGAGAGCCCCTCTCAACCTCCCCTCCCCCCATCACCCCTGCCTGCCTCCTGCCCCATCCACGTCCCCAGAACTCCATGCCTGCCACGTTAGGACAGTCTCTGCCAACACCCTGGGCCATATGCCAGGGAGACGGAAGCTTTTCCAAGAAGCAGAACTTGCTTCCCTCATGGCCCTCCTATTTGCTTGGCTTCAGCCACAGGTCAGATGGGAGGCAGCTTCTGTGTTTTAGGGCACAGTGGCATGAGGGGTCACTGAGAATGAATGGACAGAGCCGGTGGCAGCGTCTGCCAGGCGGGGATGCAATGACACGTCCCTGTCCCATCTGCCGAGTGAGCTCTGTAGCCCTTGCGTCTGGCCCTCCCTGGGAGAGGTGGCCAGGGCCTCACTCCCATTCCTCCTCTGTGGATGGGGAAGTTAAGGTGCAGAGACTTAGATGACCTGGATCCAGGTTTCCCAGCTCCTGGCCCAGGGCTCTTCCCCCTCAGGGACTTCAAACCCCCTCCTCACACCCTGCTCTGCAGTTCCCCATCACCTTGCTTCTAAACGCCAAGGAACTTGTTCTCAACCAAGGCTTGGTCCCAGCTCCAACACTTCCTTGGTGAAAAATAAGTTAATGATTAACCATGTAGCAGAAAGAAAGACCCAGTTGGTCGCCGGCAAGGTGGTGGTGGGGATGCTCTGACCCCAGCGGCCCAGGTCTGGGGGACCTTGGTGTACTGGTCAGGGAACCAGGAGCCAGGGTGCCCGGGCTACAACTGCCATCTCCTCCAGGCCCTGGGGCTGGACTCAGGGGGGAAGAGAGACCTGTGTTCTGAGCACCTCCCAGGCCCAGAGTGTTCCTGCAGGTTACCCCCTGTACTCCTCACAGCTGGGGTCATGTGGCTGTGAAGGCCCTGCTTCATAGATGCAGATGTGAGGCTCAGAGGAGCTGTGCAGCTCACCCAGCGTTCCCAGCTGGCCATGCATAGGCTCTGCTCACTGGACCACTTTCCCTTGGAGGCTCCTTCTCTGGCCTGTCCCTTCTTCCCAGGATCCTGCTCACCTCCTGATTGGGCAACTTGATCCTCCAAAGTCCCTTCCCACCTCCAACCTGCTTATTCCACCCGACTGTCAAACTCATTTCCCTCCAACACCCTTTCGTCAGACGCAGACCGTTTGCCCAGGAACCTCCCCTTAGCAGCCCTGTCCAATCACAATGGCTGGTGCCTGCTGCTGAGCCCACCTCCTGTCCTGTTCAGATAATCAGAGTTGAAAGGGACCATGTATTATGTAATGATTTTATAGATGGGAACAATGAATCCCAGAGTGGGGGACAGATTAATTGGCTGGTCAGCGGCAGGGTCTGGAGAAGAACCAGGGATCAACTGACATGGTGACCATATCCAGGCTCTAATAAGAGCAGCTTTTCTCTCCTGGCCCTTGTACTGTGGGCATGACATAGCTATCTCCTCTTGCGTTGTTGTCCCCTGACCAAAACGCCCCCTCCTGCTCACCACAGCTCAGCCCAAAGCCCTTCTCGCCCAGGAAGCCCTCCCCAACCGCTCCCTCCTCTGACCTGCCAGCTCTCCCGCTCTGTGCCAAGCAACTCAGCCATGATTGTATTCACAGATGATTGTCCACTCATGAGGGCATATGTACATCGGGAAAAATGAGGCTCAGAGAGTGGCAGTGCATGCCCATAGTCACACAGCAGAGCCAGGACCAGGCTAGAGGACTGCTGACCTGCAGGCCTTTGCTCCATAGGCCTAGGGGCCTGGGACAAGCCCAGTGTTTTCCAGCTCTCAGTCCCTCCGATGGCAGGCCCAGCCTTCACAGCAGCCTCTGCCCACTGGGCTCAAGGGGCTGCCTGTCTCCTGAGTGATGCCTCCAGCTTCCAAACCTCGAGCTGATCTTTTCTGAATTAAGCCACATGTCTGGATTAAGGCTCAGTGTGTCCTGGCTCCCTCCTGCCTCAGAAGCTCTGGCTCTGATTCCAGACAAAGGAAGTTTGGTAACAGCTGGTGGAGGCCAAGGCCCAAAGACAGGGCCAGATTGGTGGGGCAGTGGCCAGAAGAATTAGCCACCCTGGGCCCCTTCTCTCAGCACCTCCCATACCCCCAGGAAGGCAGATTAAGGAGAGAGCACAGAGGGACCCAAAGTAAGAGATTTACAGCAGCTGTTTCCCAACATGGCCCCACTCAGGGCCAGGATGTGCCCCTGGAACACCCCTGCCTCCTCTCTTCTCACTCCTGCCCCTAACTGGTACCAGCAAAAGACCCTGATATCTCCTGAAACTCAGCCTTGGGGAAGTAGAGTTACCGAGGAGGTCTCCATAAGGCCCTTGGCTGTCATGGGGTTGGAGCCTGTCTCCCACATCCTGCTCAGTCCAGGCTCCCAGGCCTTACCCGTGGGAGAGATTGAAGGTGCGGTAGATGTGCCTGAACCTCTCCCTCAATCCTGAGAACCAACCTCATCTGCCCAGAGCCCAGGATCCCAACTGCAGACCCCAGTGAGAAGAGCACAGAGGGAGAGTGGGTGGGGCGGGGGGTGACAGAGCTCGCTACTCAGCTCTGAGTTGGCCTTGATCCCAGCCAGGGCAGCCCTCTCTGGCTCCCCACTGTGGCCCCTGCCCTGGCTGTATGCCCTCCCCCCTCGATGCGAAGGGCCTTCTTTAATGGGTCAGAATCAGGGAGCTGTGGGGGCTGTGACTAGGACCGGGCCTGGAGCCACACAGAGGGGCAGAGGCCACATGGGCCTGACCCCCAGGCTCCTCGTCAACACCCTGGAGAGAAGCCGAGCCCTTCCGGGTCACAGGGAGTCCGGGGCCAGTGCCCACGACCTGCCCGAGAGGCATGTCTGGCTTCTCTGAACCCTCCCTGCCTCTGGCCCCAGCCTCCCCTTCCCCTTCCTTAGACATTCCCTCCTCACCCTTCAGCTCTCCTCCTGCCCCCTCACTTCTCTTGGTACAGCTCCTGCCCTACCATGGAACCCCTGCTCCCTGCCCTCTGAAAGTGCTCATACTAGCTGGGCCCAAGAAAATCACCAGCATCCTCCGTGCTGACCACCCTTCTCTGCTGCGTGCTGGCCTCCCCGGTAGACAGACACCCTTACCCAGGAAGGGATCCCAGGCTGGCCACCTGCAGGCAGCACCAGCCTTCTCTCAAGCACCTCTTTGTGGCCATCTCGAAGTACATGCTGCCCCAGAGGTTTCCAAGGGCAGAAAGAAGGGAGGTGCATCTCCGGGAAGTAGTTGAGGAAAGACTCACGTGTCTCGGGCTCTGCTTGAGAGTATGGGAGGCAGATTTCTTCTTATCCCCCCAGCTCTTCCCCATCTTTTCAGACTCTAGACCCATCTTGGCCACTGACTTACCTTCCTCAGGAGCCCTGTTCTCTAGGAGGTTCAACTTGAGAAGCCGGCCAGGGGCCCAGGAGAAGAGGTGTAGGGAGACTTGGAGTTGGAGTTGGGGTGAGGCTATGCAGGGATTCGAGGGTGGGTAGGGAATTGGGGAAAATGGCCAGGTAGTAGGAGGACAGGCGTAGGAAGAGAAAGGGTTGGGGGAACCTTAGGGAGATCTGGTCTAGCCCACTTTTCCCAGAGGCCATGGACCTGGAAGCACATTTGGACTGGCTCTGTCTCCCATTCACTCCTGCAGCCTCGCTACTGCTGCGTCCACACACACAGCCTCACTGACAATCACTCCCACCTCTTTCTGGGACGAGGGGAAGGTAAGTAAACTGCTTCCTTGGGCTCTGCCTGCGGTCCCCCAAGGCAGCCAGTAAGGTTTGCACCTGATAGACCCAGGTGCTGCGACTGCTATGGGGCACACATCCATGGTGACTGAGCAGGACTGGAATTCAAGACTGAGCGCCACCCTCTTCTGAGATGGTGCTGATAACTAGGCACCTTCAGACCTCTGGGTCACCCCTGCTGACCACCGCTTCTGCCTCTGCTGACCCAGCCCCTGAAAATCCCAGCCCCAAAGTGGTTGCCAGCCACATCAAGAACAAATCCTGCCTTTCAGGGCTCTCCAGAAACTGCAAATCACTCCATTCAGCCTTCGCAGAGCATACACTGTGAGAGCATACACAGAAGGTGCTTTCCCTGCCCCAGCACCCAGTCAAGCTCCTTTGCCCTACCTGGAGCACCATGCCCCGGCCATCTACCTATCCACCCTGGATCACATGGTGCTGCCCCACACTCCTCTCTCCAGCATTTGCTACACAGCTCGGAGGCTTTTTGGATATCTCACTCCCCACACTCCCACCACCGCCTGGCAGCTGGGTCCCTGAAGGCATGCCTGTGGCACCCTGGCTGGTCCTCGCGGCCTCAGGCTCCTCATCAGTGACATTGGGGGCTCATAAAGACAACTGTCCCTGGGGTTTGGCATGACAAGGCAAGGCGGTGATATGAGAAGACTTTATAATCCCCCAAGAGGTATGTGTGCATGCTGGGTACTCTGGTCTCTAATCTTACACATCTCTGTAGCCTCCCCCAGGCCCAGCACAGTGCTGAAACACGAGGTGCTCTATATATCCCAGATGGTGAATCTGTACAATCTTGACAGGACTGAGAGAGAAAATGTGCCTTGAGCCCCAATCCTAGGGCCCGGGAGCACACACTGGGGCTTGGAAATGCGGTTTTGGGGCAGAGTTAGGGCCCTTCAACATTATAGAAAATGATACAAGTCCAGAATGACCTGTCCTGAGAGGCTAAGAACAGAAATTACTTCACAAAGAGGTTTAAATGGGCAGGGGCAGGTGACTGGGGGTTCCTGGGACCCACCTGCACTGTGAAGTGTCAGCGGAGACACATTGTCCTTCTGGTCCTAGAGCCCTGGAGGGGCTCATGGCAGGAAAAGCTGGATGCTGGTAGCCCTCAGGCCAACTTGCTGCCTCAGAGCAGAGACCTGGGTCCCCACTGCGGTCAGCAGTCCCCGGAGCTGGAACCCTAGCCTGGACAGTCACCCCCAGACTCCTCTCCTAAACCTCAGAGCTAGAGGGAGAAGGAAGGGCACCTCAGTTCTGGTGGTGCCTGGAGGGACCTCATTCCCCCTTTCTACGGTCCTGGATGGGCTCTGGTCCATCTGGCACCCAGCAGATTCCCACTCAGGTCCCTGGCTGAGAAGGATTGGTCCAGTTGGGGGAGAAGGCTCGCCTGCCTCTGGTTTGGAGGCCCCACCCAGTGCCGGGAGGTGGGAGAGGAGAATCTGGCAGGGGGCACCTTCTGGACTAGGAACCTGCGAACTCGGTAGAGCAAGGAGCCCAGCATTAAATGTCAGGAAGAGCCCAGGGCAACTCGGCTTGTGCAAAGTTTGCTTTGGGAAGACTTGTTCCACCTGACAGGCTGCTAGCTTGGCTGGGGGCACAGGGTGGGGCGTGGAATGGGATGGGGGATGGGTAGGGTCCTAGACCAGATGCTCTGCTCTCTAGCTCTGGTACTGAGGCAAGTGACTCAACTTCCTCTGAGAATCTGTTGTCTCATCTGTTAAATGGGCTGTCAAGAGCAAGTCTTAAAGGGGTTAAGAAGATTGAGGGAGAGTGTAGATGGGGATTCCTTGTAAATTCTAATGGGCTGAGTATGCATGAAGGAGGCACCTGGGAGCAGCAGGTGAGGGGATGGAGCTGAAGAAGATGGGAGGGAAAGGTAGCGGGGTGAGGGATGAGGGGAAGAGGAAGGAAGAGTCGGGTGGCAGTGGTGGGCAGAGGGGAGCACCTGAAGTGTGGAGTCTGGGAAGGAGCTGAGGGTGGTGGTGGAGGAGGTCATCCCGCTCTCCAATCCAGCCCAGGGCAGCTGCCAGCCTCACTACACCCGGCCTCCAGGGGGAGCCCCAGCCAGAGCCGCCCAGAGTCCCCTGACCTCTGCCGAGGAGCCTGGGCTGGGAAAGCACACTGGTCTTGCAGAGCTGGCAAACCCAGCCGGCCAGCCTGCTTCCACCCGTTCTTACACAGCCTTCAAAACCCAGCTCCAGGTTGTCTCCTCTATGACACCTCCTTGACTAGAGGAGGCCATCTGGTCTAAACTTCCCATTATACAGACAAGGAGCTGCAAATGCAGGGAGGAAAAGCGGCTTGCTCAAGGTCACACACAGGGGGCCTCAGCCCATCCTTTCTTGCCTTCCACCCAAAGGGTCTCGGGAATCAGCCTGAACTGATTTCCCATGTTACACTCAAGCTGCACCAACTGAGTTAGCATAAAATTGTGCTAATTGTTTCAGGGCTATTAACTACATCTGCGATGACCTTGGTGGTAAAAAGCGGGTTCTCCTTGTTCTGCTTACTGCCAGTGTCACAATTTCTGAGCATTGATTGAGCACCTACTGGGTGCCACCCTATTCTCTCAGGCTTGGTTGACAGAGAAGTTCTAATTAGTCCTCGTGAAAATCAAATGGCATTGCATCTATATTTTACAATTGGTAATGCACCATGAACATGTCCATTAGGGACAGAGTTTTGTCCCCCTCTGGTGCCCAGAATAGAGAAACACTTGACCATTCACGGTCAGGCCCTCAAAGGGGACGGTGGTCTTGTACCAGAGAGACTACCTCCTTCATACCCTAATCTCCCTGGGGGCCCTTGGGATGTTCCCTTTCCCCAAGTTTCTGTGAGTTTGGGGTGGTAAGACCCCAGGCTGGGGGTCCCTGGCTCCAGCCCTTCCCCAAGCAGGCAAGGGGAGGGCAGGGCTAGCCTGGCTGGGCTGGGCCATGGCCTGGACCTATCTGTCTGGTGGAGAGTCTCTGCCCATCCCCGTCCTCACCTCAGGCCTGGGGCGGCCCAGGCACCTGTTTGCTTTGTTACTCAGCTGAGCAGCTGGCACTGGGGAAAGCAGCTTTATTGGGGGTGTTGTGAAGCTGTTTATAGGGGAGGTGGGGGCCGGAAATGAGGCCAAGTCCCAGCCCAGGTCAAGGAGGAGAAAAGCCTTGGTGGTCATAAAGGGGACAGGCCAGTTGAGGCTTGTGGCCAGTGTATGGGCTGCTGAGTGGGCTCAGCTACAGGGGGAAGCAAGGGGACCCAGGGCTAGCTCAGGGGCCTGTACCCTCCCCAACACCCCCCCACACGTGCATGCATGTGCACACGCACATGCACGCGCGCACACACACACACACACACACACACACACACACACACACACACACTTTGTCCAGCTTCAGGGCAGTCCCCAGCCCCACAGACCCTTTGGCCTTCTACCCTGTCATCTCCATCATCCACTTCCTTCTCTCCACAGGACGCATTTGGCAAATCTTAGAAATGAGTGCCTTTGAGGGCCCTCGTTTCTCTCTTAGTGTGCCCAGCTTGGGCACCCCCCCCACTCCCTGCATACCTGTGCCCAGGGGCTTTGCTCCATGGCTCCCCAGACCACCTGGTTCCTGCACCCACCACAGCCTTGCCCACCCTCTGGGCTCTGGGCCTGTTCTGCCTGCTCCAAACTGGACACTGACCCTGAGCCTCTAGATTCCAGCAAGCCCCTGCCCACTTGTGGCCTGGCCCCAGGGGACCCTTCCCTTGGCAGAGCAGCTATGGCTGGTGGTGGCAGAAAGATGGCTTGTGTTTCACTAGCCAAGCAGAACCAGCAGGTCTCCGGAGCTGAGGCTCTGCACCTGCAGAGCTGCCTCCCCGCAGGCTGTAGGGGCTGGTCTCCATGAGCAGCCCAGAAGGGGCCATCACAGACATGGGGCACCCCAGGCCTCACCAGGCCAAGGGGTCTCAACCAGGCTCTGGGGTGACCCAGGGAGGCAGGCTGGGCTGCATGCAGAGGGGTCAGGGGCTTCTGGGGTTGGAGAACCCAGATCACAGGGTGGCTGATGCCTGGGAGATCAGTTCTGAGCTTGCAAAGTGCACTTCCAAGTCCTGCCCTCAGTTACCTGCAATCCCACAACTGTCAGGAAGAAGCCCCCGTGCCTCCCCCAACACTTACCAGTTAGCTGTCTGGTGCCCAAAGGGTCGTCCACTGCAGTGTCAACCTTGGGGGCCAGGGGGAGGCGTGGGCAGCTTAGGCTACTGCTGGAGCTCAGCCAGGCATCTGGGGTGCCGGTGGGACCAGGGACCGGCGGGGCTGGGGGCAGAGGTGACACTCGGGTGGGCCGCCGGGGGCCTGGCCACCCTGCAGGGGTGGTCCTCTGAGGTCTCAGGGCTGCATGCCCTATGGGGAGCCCCCTTGCCCCCAGCCCAGGGCCACCTGTTGGCACTGCGGCAAAACCCAACCAGAGGGGCTTACATAGGGCCACGGTTGGCTCTGGGGACTGGGTCTGCAAGGCAGTGTAGGCACGGTCAGAGTGGAGGAATGTGCTGGGAGGAAGTCAGGCAGCTGTGAGATGAAGAGTTGGCCAGGGCCTGATTTCCCATTATAAGTAATCCTTCCTTATTTACCTGAACAAATATGCTCCCTGCTTACCTCAGACCACAGGCAGGCTCCCGGTTAACCCTTGCAGGCCTTCCCCTCCTTGCCAGGGGATGCATACCCTGGCAGTCTGGGAACTCACTGATGCATTCACTCACTCACTCACTCACTCACTCTTGACTCATTCATTCATTGATGCATAGCCACTGAGCTCATATTATATGCAAGGCACAGGGGATAGATCTATCTAGAGATGGGATCTAGGGCTGGGATGCTAAGGGGGATCAGTCAAGATCAAGGGACAGGCAAGCAAGCTCAGGAAATTCAGGGCCACCCATACATACCCCAGTGGAGGGCTTGATGGAGCACCAAGGGTGGGCTCCTGGAAAGGGGAGTCAGTGCGGGCTTCCTGGAGGAGGTGCTGTCCCAGGCCAGGGATGGAGGGAACTTCAAGAACCTCAGGGAAGGGGATCTGAGGCTCATGGGCCCACCTACCCCTTGTGAGAGCCATGTTCTCTGTGCTCCATAGAGCCTGACCCAGGGTCGTCGCTCAGCGGTGTGCAGGAAGGACTTGCAGCTCACTTTCCCAGACCCCGAGTGGGGGTCACCCTGCAGCAGCCTGCTCTCCCACAGCACCTGAATGGGGGAGGCAGTGAGGCACCCACCCCCGGGTTCCTCCATCTCCATGAGCCCAAGGAGGGCCGCGTAGGTGAGTGCTCAGCTTCCTTCTCATCCTGCCAGTTGGGTTGAGGGATGTCCCCAGAGGACAGGTGCTGGCTCTTCTTTTTCTGGATCATTTCGGAAGGGCACCAAGCACCTGTTGCCCTATTCTGTCAGAGGAGGGCAGTTTAGATAATGTTTATTGTTATTTTCTAATTTCAGAAGGACTTATGTTACCACCCACAGTGTGAGTATTCTAGGGCTTCAGGAAGATTTCAAGGTCTTCAGAACTAGCCCCTTCATCGTAACTGATGCCAACATTCTCCAACATACGATTAGACTTTTTGCCCCGGAAAGCCCTGTGCTTGGTTGTACTTCCACAGCACCTTGGTGAAGATCATTCCCCAGAAAAGGTCGAGGTAGGATGGGATGGAAGTTGGGGGAGGTAATACAAAGTCTGACAGTGGATACAGTCGACCATCCCAGGCTTCCTGCATCAATAAAAAGACCCCCTGTTCTCCCAGGTGGGACCTTGTCCAGATGCTTTTCGATTCTCTGCTTCCCTTCCAGGCAGACAGCCCTCCTGTTCACTCTCACAGAAGCTTGTGCTTGTATCAGCACCCCAATGCAGCCCTGATAATGGACCCTGCACAGTGAGTGCCCACAATATGCTGGGCACTGTTCAGCACTCACCAGATGTTAAGGCATTAACCATATTAGAACTACTAAAACATGGGTATAGGCAAGTATAAGGAGTTCCTGATAAGTGCCAGCACACAGAATGTGATTTCTGGAGCATCTGGCCTGCGCCTCCCTCCGCAGGCCCACCCTCTCAAGCCACTAGCCTGTCGGAGAGCAAAGAGTGCTGGGTGGGATGCAGGGAGGCAGGGAGTGGTTTCACCCCGGCCATTGAGCCACTGACTAGTGGTGTGATCCTGAGCCAGTCTCAGGCTCCTGCGGGCCTCCCTCACCTCCTCTGCGACATGGAGATGATACTTGCCATACTGACCTTGCAGGTAGGGCGTTGTGATGACTGAATGTCCTTTGACAATGGAAGCTAGACGTGCTTAGGCAAGAGCAGTGTGTCTTTGTCGGTTGGTTGGCCAGATTGCCGCCTTCCTAGCTTTCTTTCTGCCCCCATCTCCCTGCCAGCTGGTCCTCCCACTTGGGTCCCACCCTCCTAGGAGATGCAGCCTGGGGACGATGGCAGGGACAAGGCTGGGGCCCATGCCAGTCGCAGAGAGTTGGGGCTTCCTCTTGCCCGGTGGACACAAGGTTCTTCCCTGTCCAGGCCTCAGCTCTGAGAAGGTGGGAACAGCCGGGGCAGTGCTCCCCTGCTGAGATACGGAGAGCCTGGGCTGCTCACCCAGATGGGACTGCAGGGCAGGCTGGGCAGGAAGCCTCGTCTGTGGGACCCCAGAGACCATGCAGCCCTCATGGTACAGAGGGAAACACTGGGATCAGAGAGGCTGGGAACAGACCCACGGACACACAACAGAGCTGGAATCTGAATTCAGACTCCAACCTGTGCACACGTGTGGCATGTACTCTCTCAATCCTGATAAGCCCACATAAGCACCTGAGGGGTTCACTGATCTTCTCATTCATAGATGAGAAACAGAGGCTCCTTAAACTTCCCCAGAGGCCAGAGACTGGGCAGAGGCAGAATTCCTGCTGGGTTCTTGGAGTCCTCTTCCCAGAACATCATATTGCAGCCTGATGGTGCACAAGGGGACCAGGGAAGCTAGGGGGTTATGGCTGTGTCTTTGGGAGCCCCGTATCTAGGTCCACCAACAGCAGCATGCAGGGCCCCAAGGAGTTCATGGCCTGCTGGCCACAGCCACAGAGTCTCTGCCTCAGAGGGTACAGATGACCCCTGCACCCCTTCCCAGGCTAGCTCTCTGTGGGCTCCCTGCTTTCAGGAACACCTGTTGTGTGTGGTAAATACAGTGGATAAGACGCTCCATTCTAGGAGCCAAAGGCCTTCCCAGCTTAGGGCCTGGTTCCCCAGCCCTGGGGTTCCTCACCAATGCCATCTCCTGCTCCTCTTCAGACTGACCCCTTACAAAGAGACCCCAAAGCTCCAGGAGGGTTGAGCGGATGGGTGAGTCTTCCCTGTGTTCAAGGCCTGGCTTACCACCCCCTATCCCCAATACCCTTCCCTGTAGCTTCATCCAGCCACCCCCATCACTGATTCACACCTGGGGTACCATCAAAGGAGGCCTCCCGCAACCACAGGGCCCTAGCACAGCCCTCCGGTTCCTCGGAGTTCCCCTGTGGGTGGAGCCAGAGAGGACTCCAGCCAGAAATGGGCTCCAAGCCCTGGGAAGCCTTCAGGTCTGTCTGGGGCCAGGGGCAGACAGCTGGCACACACACCAACACCAAGGCACATCCTTTCTATGCATTCCAGGCCCCTACAATGGGGAGTGGGGTGGTATCCCAAGATATAGCCTGGACCCTGGCCTTGTCTCTCACATGAATCCATTCATTCTACAAATATGTGCTGAAGGTCCAGAGTGGGACAAGCATGGTTAATTGGGTGGATCTTATTGGGTTTACATTCTAGAGAGAGAGACAAAGAGTCAACAGGAAAAGCAGTAAGTGAGTAAATTATATAGTACTCTAGGTGATGAGCACCTGAAAAATAGGGCCCAGGATGTGAGGAGTGCTTGGGGACATGGGGAACACATTGAATTTGGTCATTAGACCAGATATCCTTGGGAAGGGGTGATTTGAGCAACAACATGAAGGAGGTGAAGGTGGGAGCCCTGTGGTTATCTGCAAGGATTCCAGGCACTAAAGCTTGAGCAAAGGCCCTGAGGCAGGCTTGTGCCTGGTATGCTTTTGGAACCCGGAGGAGGCCTATGTGGCTGGAGCAGAGAGAGAGGGGAGTAGAGGGAGATGAGGCCAGGAAGGCAGTGTGAGCCAGTCTGCAGGGTCTTGAGGCCCTGGCCTCTTCATTTCTCAGGGCTTCCCAGCCAAGCCCCTCATTTACCCAGGGCTCACTGTGAGCCACATGCCATACCACTTGCTTCACAGAAGTTAATTTATTTAATTGTCTTAATAGCCCTTTGAGGTGGCACCCCTATCATTAGAGTCCCTATTTTAGCTTCAGTGAGGAAACTGAGGCACAGAGAGGATAGCAGCTTGCGTGGCAAGGCACAGAGCCAGGACCTGCTGCAGAGCCCAGACTCAGCCACAGCAGGGCCCCCTTCCTGCTCAATGCGTCAGTCCTCCCTCCTGCCTGCTCCAGGGTGCCAGGTGCACCCCCGGCCCACCCGTCGTGGGGGGCGGAGATGGAGGGGCCCGCGTCACTGCCCACACCCGAGAGCTGCCTTTCCCCCCATTAGCACAGAGCCAGTAGGGCCTTACCAAACCACAGCCCCAGATAAGAGCACAATTGGAACCTGTTTTGCTCGTAGGTTGGCTGCGGGGGTGGGCCATGGAGAGGTGGGAAGTAGGGGGAGCCGGCTGGCAGCTCCCTGGCCAGGCTATCAGCAGCCCTGCCCACCCCCTTCCCCATTAGCCCCTTTGAAATTTACTCACCTTATCAGGGGTGCAAGCTTTCTGAGGGAGGCTGCTAGGCCTTTGTGTCCAGTCGGAAGGTTGCCTTCCGCCTGGCTCGGCCCCTGCCCAGAGGAGACAATGTGCTGGGACACGTGCTGGGAGAAAACTGGCCCTCAGACACCCAGGGCGCCCTTGCTCTCACACACACAGACCTGGCCTCCCTGCCCCTGCTGGTGGGCACCTCCCCAGGCCCTGCCCGGGCACTGCCACACTCAGCCGGCAACACCTGGCTCCCCTATCCCTTCACCCAGGCTTCTCTCAGCCACCATTTGGTACTCAGTGCCAAGCGGGCAGGCACAGCCTCCTTCCCTGTCTCATGTGCCTGACCGGCTTTCCTCAGGAACAGGGCCTGTCACAGCACTGAGCCCAGTCACACCCTCAGCAAATGTTTATTGAGCACCTACTACAGCCAGGCCCTGGGCACAGCAGTGGGCAGGACAAACCAATCCCTCTCTCCCGTGGGGTTAACATTCGTAAATAAACACAAATAAATAGGACCAGTGTGTGTCAGAAGGTGAAATTTCAGCTATGGGGCAAAAATACAGCAGGGACACAGGATAGGAGGTGTTGGGGAAATTTTAAGTATGTGAGGGGATGAGAGGTCAGGGAAAGCCTACCTGAAGAGGTGATACTGGGATCAAGACCTGAAGGAGTCTCTCTCTCTCTGGGGTTAGACTCACAACATGCAAGGGCTGAGCCTGGACAAGAGAGACGACCAACCAGACCCTGATCTGTACTGAGGCTCAGAGAGG